GGAAGGCTTAGGAGGCTGATCCCACATTTTGTCTTCTGCTGTCTTGAAGCAAGCAGTAGGCTGCAAATTCCAGAGTGACTGTGGGAGAGCTGCTGCTTTATTTCCCTCCATTTAAGCAAGAATGCTGGCAAGCTGCCTTCCCTCCCCCGAGAGCCTCATCCTCCAGGTTTGTTTGCATGCTGCTCGCTGAACGCCTAAAAAAAGGAGCCAATCAGATTGCATTTGCCTAATACATTAATGAATCTGCTTAGGTGTCATCAGGTCTAATGTCTTAGTGAGCGGTGACAGTTTAATGCATCGGGACCGCATTGCTGAGAAGTTGCAGGGTGGTGGATTGCCAGAGGTGTGCTGAGACCTGCGGACTTGGGGCTGGGGACCCAGCGTGGTAGAGTTAAACTTCCCCGGGTACTAATGGAAGCATGTAAACAAAAACAAAGGTGAAGGTAGGTCTCCCTTCTTGTCATTCTTGCAGCAAGCATTTTATTTATTTTGCGGTTAGTGCCCTTTGCCAAAGGAACTCAAACTCTTTGGCTGGCTGCATGGGAGTATATTTTACTTGTGTGTGTTTACTGGAGTTATAGTCGCAATAAAAAATTTTAAAGGGTCCCTTGAGAAGACAGAACTATAACAGCCTTTGTTATTCCTAGCAGAATGCATGCAAAAACAAACAGATTAAATCCATGTGAGCTCCTTCCCTGCCTCCAGTGGGATGGACTGATGGCTCTGGAGCGAAGGGCTTTTTGTGCAAAAGCTACATGAAGTTTTACACTTCTGAGAAAGCCTCACTCTCATCCTCAAAGAAACAGCGTGCTGCACTTCTTTGCAGAGCAGGAAGACTGCTCAGCTGGGAGCTGAAGTGAGAGAGGTGTGAGGTGGATGGCTGGGTCTGTCCAAGGAAAGATCTGTGGTTTTACTAAGTCACGTGCAGCCAGATCTGCTTTAAGTGCCTGGTGTACCAGGTTTGTATCTCTGCAGCTAGCCTCTGTGTTTTCCTCTTTGCTGGCTGAACTGGTGGCACAGGGTGGTCTCTCCTGGGCAAGGCTCTGCTGCTGAATGCTGTGCCAGGAATGTGCACAAGTGTGGTGCGTGCTTTGCCTCTCTGCAGCCCTCTGCAACTCTACTTAGGGCTTCTGTGGGTACCAAGAAGACACTGGCATGACGTTCCTTTGCTTTACTGGGTAGATCCTACAAGTTTGGACACAAATGTATTACAAATATTAGCCAGATTATCATTTTTAAGTGAATATCTAACAAGGAAAGCATCTGACAAAGTGGGAGCAGCTTGTTTCAGATGGTTGCATGGCTTTGCCAAGTGTTTTCAAGCATCTCAACTACTGTTCAGCTGACAATTGTTTTGATCTTTTCTTTATCTGTTTTGTGGAAAATGAAAGATCACAGCTCATGGATGCGTTTGGAGAAAAATCTTTTTATCGAAGACTCTTTTTTTGTATTGTTTTAAAAACGCACAGATGACAGACTGCATGAAGAAGCCTGGTTCCACATTGTAGGCTGTGCTCTGAAGGTTGTTCCCTGGTATTTAAAATGAATTACAGTTTTGCTAATGGGAATGAATTAAGACCCAAACTGTCACGTCCTCTTGTGGTTTCCTATAGCTCCTGTGGTTTAAAACACAGACAAACACATACACAAAACAAAAGACTTGAGTAGCCAGGATCCATCCATCCTAGAGGTGATGGTAGTTTTGTGGTAAACCTTTTGCCCCACAGACTCAGAGCTCTTTGGCAGCTGTAGAGAGGAACATGCCCATGCCTGAGTCTCCAGAGGAACCTGGACACAGGTGTAACCTTGTCATTATACAAGGTTTCAAGGGCATATCTTTGGATGCCTAGCTTGATGTTCCTAGGTACAGTGCAAATCTCCACTGTCATTCAATTATTGCTCAAAACTCATCGAGGTTGGTAGAAGGAAGTGCCTTTGTTCATAAGGAGCATCAATTGATGCCCCAGAGCACAATTCTATCCCATGTAGGAATCTCAACTTTTACTCATCCCTTCTGCTCCAGAGGCAGCATGTCTTTTAAAAACATACGTTGCTGAAGTCTCAGGAAATGTTATCTGGGTGATGCATTTTTATATTTGAGAAGAATGGTAAAGCCCTGGCTTTGCATTAAGATAATGGTACACCCCTGGACATTCTTGTTCTCACTCAGATGAGGAATGGAATGACACCATGTCAGGAGCAGAAAGAAAGATTTGCTTCATTAGCAGCTGCCACAGTGCAGTAGTGGGATCCACAATGAGTTGGCAGTCACCTTACCCAGGCACTGGTTGAGTTTTTCTTCCTGCCCCCAAAGCTTTCCTTCCTTGGTGCTCAAAGGGTCTCTTCTAAATGTCCTCATCTTTCAATTACCTGCCCGCCTTTAGGTGCAGCCATAAGGCCTAATTTTGTGTGGAGGCAGGAATTGTTTCAAGCTCTGCCAACGTAGGATTTATGGCATTTCAATAGGCTCATTGGTTGCTCTTTGCTGTGAATGAGCTCTGCTTTGTGCTGAAGGCCTGGTGCACAGCTGCTGGTGGCAGAGAAGGGCTGGCTGCTAAATGAGCTGTTCCCTCTGTGCTGCCACCTCACAGCATTCCCACCAGCAATCCCCCATACCTCATTTCTGGCATCTCATGGAAAACGATAGTGCGGCCATTTTTCATCCATCATTATTCTTTGCTGTGGGCCAGTGGCTGGAAATAATTTTCCACCTGGGACTGATGGAGATAATGCGTTTCAGAAGAGGAGTAGTTTCACAAAGCATCCATAGGCTATGCACTGCGGCTGCTTGCTTTCAGTGGGGTCAGGATCAGCCCCACGATTTCTGATATTTCTACTTCCTACAAAGCCACGCAGAGCTTTCTCCATTGTAGGCACAGAGTTCTGTTTAAAACAGTGAAGGTAAAATGGGGAACTTATCTACCACTGCAGTCTTCTCCATGACTTTGCAAGGCTTTGTAAATATTCAGCTTTGTAGCTCTTTGAGAAAAATCCACCTTCCTGTGCCTATTTTTCCTTCCCTTGGTGCTCAGGCAGCTAATTTCTGGAGCCGCAGGAGAATTGAGTGGAAAGCCATTAGCAAGGAAATTGAGCTCTTCATCTCCGTTGTAATAACGTTTTTCAATGTGGGAGCGTTTGGAAGAAGCCTTCCCATCTGTTTGAGGTGGGTTGTTACCTGCTGGCAGGTTTGGGCAACTTCCAGCTTGCAGTATGCTCCCTGCCAAGCTCTTACCAGGGATTTATGCAAGTTGGAAGTGTTTTTCAGGGCCTTTCAAAGCTGGTGGCAGGTAGAATAAGTTGCAGGCCTGACTTCTCTTTCTATCTTCAGTCTCAGCCACCTTCACTGTATAGATTTGCCACTATCATTGCATGGATTTTTCAATAGCTGAAACAAATCTTTTATTTATTACATTATTTTCTGCTGGCACTGCAGAAATGTTGGTCTGTAACAGAGGCTGGCTGGGCTTTGCCCACCTCCTGCCTCTCCAGCAGGCCAGTACAGACACTGTGGGGTGAAAGCTGTAGGAGCTGAGTTTGGTTTTCAAAAGGATTAGGGCTGAATTCTGGCAAAGCTGGGGAGAAGACTTTGACCACACCATGCTTGCACACTGACCCACATGCCCTGCTTTTGAAGTGGCTGCATGATATTTAGACCCATAGGAAAGTCATGTTTTTACTGTGTATATTACTCCCCAGACTTTGTGTTAAGGATATGCAAATTTATTTATTCTTTTTTCCTCGTGTTACATGAAAACCATTCTATTATGATAAAGTAAATGCCATGCAACTTGTGCTGGATAGCAGGTGCCAGCAGCTGGTTTCTCTGCATCCACAGCTGAGGCTCAGCTCTGTGTGGCTGCTGACTTTTCAGGTAGCCAGAGCGACCAGACAGTGACTTGCCACATTTGGCAGTGAGTTAAAGCTTGCAATTAACCAATATGCAGTTAACCAGATTAGCAACATAGGGAACCAAGCAGGCTTAGCTGAAGACCGTGCGATCCTAAATGAATTAGGTTGGAAGTATGGTGTGTGCAGTGCTCTGAGTCACCAGAGGGTGCCTGCAGGTCGGCTTTGTGCTGAGGTAGGGATTCACCCTTTGGAATTAGAGTTACTCCAAATGGACACCATTTTACAATTGGATGAGGGTAATTTAAGAAAAATATCAAATGTTCAGTTTTAAAACTTTTTTTTTTTTAATGGAAGTGGTTGAAACAAGCACTTTTTCACCCATCACATCAATTTTCATAGAATCACTGAATGCTTGGGGTGGAAGGGACCTTAAAGACCAGCCAGTTCCAACTCCCTGCCATAGGCATGGCTGCCAATGTATGGTGTGTTTTGTGTATTACTGGCTTCTAACTGCTTGGCATGAGGGTGCGTCCCCCACACACCTCTCCTGTCATTATTTGGATTACTTGATTTATTCTCTGTGACACCATTTGGTGGGGGGGGAAGGAAGCAGAAGACAGTGGCCCTCTCAAAGCCCTCAGGGCCCTGCTGATTTGAGTCTAATTAATAAAGAAAAGCCAGGGAGGTCTTGACCAAAGCAAGAGGCAGGTTGGAGAAAGGCAGGTGCAGCAGTATCTCTATTCATCCTGTTTTCTGCCTGTTTTTTCTCCGTTAGGAATCCAGGATTAAGAAATGAGTATTTAAAAAATAAAAAGCCTTCGTGTCACTCACATTTTTTTTCTGTATGTTGGTATTTCAGCTCACATCAATTTTTACCATTGGCTCAGAACCCAGCTTGTATTTGTTAGTGAAGCTCATCTGTTCCCTCCCAGCCTGCAAAGCTTCATTGGCACCTTCGGTGCTAAATTAATAACCTGCTTCTGCTCGTTGTCACATAACCAGAAGGTCTGCATAAACCTGCTGGCTCCAGACCAGCTGTGTGCTTGGGTCATTTCTCCTGTAGGCTCAAATGCCACACAGCGTTGGTTGCCCTTGCCCAGTGCACAAATGAGGTTGCCATGGGGAAAGCCAAAGGGTTCCCAACCTAGCAGCGGTTCCTGAGAACAAAATAAGAAGCTGTATGTGTGCTGTGAGGCTGCTGCAAAGGGCCATGCTGCCCAGCAAGTATGCTATGTGAAAGAAAAGATGTCGAAAGGGGTAACTATCAGGTTACAAGTGTGTAAGATGGCATTATTTCCATCCCTGCTCTGGACAGCAGAAAAGCTCTGCTTAGCCCCAAGGCTTCTCTGCTGCTGTAGGAAAATGCAGCCTGAGAGCAGGTTGCTGGTCAAAGCAGGGAGAGCAGAGGTTTAGCCAAATACATCCAAAATGTATTTGTTAAAATGAAGAGGCTGTGCTTCATGTGTAGGGATTTCATGGCAAGTAATTTTGTTAACCTACTGGGAGGGATGCCTCAAGGAATGGCGCTGCAACCAGGTTCATTTCTAGGCTGTCTGTATGCACGAGACACTGCTCCTGCATTGTGTCATTAAGGGTCTGCAGGTGACATAACGTGGCCACGTGGGTGATGCTACCCGAGATGAAGTGAGATGATGTGAGGCTGAGCAGTGAAGGTACTCCTTTCTCCTCTCACAGCAGCAATTTTTTCTTCCATTTTAGGAAGAATGAAATAAAACTTTGTCTCCCTGTTTTTCAGGCTAAGCATGTGGGCTGTTGAATCTGCCTTACCAGCAGAAGGGCAAGGTGTGTCAGTACTCCAGGCCGGAGACTGGATGCTGGATACTGCCAGGTGGTCTCAGTCTGACAGGCTGACAATCTTTGCTCAATTTTGGTCATTATTTTGGTGGTTTAATGAGGATCACACTTTTCAGTTCTCCTAATGTTGCTTTCCCATAGAGTTGCTCATTTGAGATACCCAGCAGCTTACATTTTTTGCTAGAGCTGAGCTGGTAGCTTGTTACTCAGCTTAATTAAAGGGAACAGATTGAACACCATACCAGGGAATATCTTTTGACTAGGCAGTGCCACTGCCATGTTATGGAATTGCCCCTAACCAATGGCTCCTTTAGATGACCTGTGCTTGTAGAAAGAGAGTTCCCTGGCCTGAAGGATTTATTGTCCAAGAAGAAAACCAGGAGAGAGCTGAACAAGCAGCATTTCTGCTATGCTGTTTTTACAGGCAGGAGCTGCATGAGATTAAGTCTTGCCTGCAGCCTGCAACAGAGTTGAGGCAGAGTTTTCCTAGCCTCTCTAACAGCATAAAGCAGTGCTGGAGTCTGAGGCAGTTCTCTGCTGCTTGTTTGTAGCAAAGAGGAAAAACTTTTTTGAGAATTCTCCTGTTTTGTGCAGGTAATGTCACACTTGGACACCCACGTGCTGTAGTTGGCCAATTTTCTGCCATCCTGTGATGTATAGGCTTGTTATTTTCTCATGGTCCTAATTACTCGGCCTTGGAGAAAATGAAAGTCTTGGGAGGTTGAAATTTGCCTCACTGTAAGGCTGAATCCTGGAATCCTACACTGTTGTTGCTGACAGAGTGATTCAGCAGAGGCAGGAAGATGCTACCTATTGGCTTGGATGCTGGTTTGCTGACTGAGTTGTCAGCCATTTCCCCATGTCACAATGGGCTGACTGTCCTGCTGGGAAAGGATTGCTGATGTTTGTTTTTTATTTGTTTTCCTATAGGAGTTCCATTACTGCACATTTTTCCAGGTAAAAATCCTCTTGGTGCTTCTCTGTTAGCTTGCAGGCTGCACAAGGGCTCAGTGCTTGGAGGGAGAATTCCTTCTTTTCAGAATATTCTTGCAGATGCTCTCCATCCAAATCGTGGCACAGACAGAATGAGCTTCTGTTCCTTGTCATTAACAGGGAACAGCGCTGCACTTCTGCTCAAAATTTCTCTTTTTGTGTGTGTGTTTGTAAAAACAGCCAGTGCTGATTTTGTTATGGAACCCTCCAAAACTTGCCACAGAAATGATGGAAAAGTCATTATTTTCACATTTGAAAAATAGCTTTTGAATAAGCACAGCAAGAACAAAACGTGCAGTTGTAAAACCAAGCATCTGTTCATCTTCATGTAGTTATCCATAGCAGAGAGGTATAATGTATTTGCAATGAGGGTGGTGCAAAATTCTCGTTTAGTGGAGATGGCAGGAAGTGTGGGACACTTGGGCAGAATTATTTTTCCTCTTTTGCTAATCTTCCCTGAATACAATGCTTTTTGTAGGACTGGCATGGATTTACACCAATCCAAACAAGAAGGTTTCCAATCTCACGCTGCTGATCCAAGCACAAAAGTTGTCAAATTCTTAATCTTGTGGCAAAGGGGGGTGGAAAACTTCCTCTTCCTTTTATGAGTTGCCAGTGATGCTTTGCTATTTGCTTGTGCGCTGTGCTTTGGGTGCTGCTGATCTCCCTGAGGTGCTCGCTGGTGCAGCACCTGAGGAGCTGCCTGCCAACCCTGCAGGCAGGAGATATTCTTCCAGATTTCTTCAGAGAAGCGGTTGCTATGCAGCCTTGTTTATTCCTGGCACGTGACACTGTTTGCTTTTGGAGCTAGTGCACCTGGCCGGGTGGGCCGATCTCCTCCTGGAGGAGGGGGCTGCCTTGCCAATGGCTGTCCCAGCTCCCGGCTTGGGAAATGCAGGCTCTGGAGCACCAGAAATCCTTGTTGCCTTGTGGAAGGTGACCTGCAGCAGGGATTCACATTTCTCAGGAGGATTATGAGCTTCTCGGCATGGAGTGAAGCTTGCGAAGTGAAGGCCGCAGCTGTCTGTGAAGGAGGTTGGTGAGCAGCCCTGGCTGCTTCCTGCTGCGGTGGGAAAGCAGTGTGTGGGGTGGTGGATAGAGGAGGGGAAGGCAGGCCAGGCAGGGGCTGCTGAGCAGCTGATGTTAATGACAGGGAAGCCACTCTTCACATGAAAAGGGTCAACGTGATTCTTGCCATGGCATAGCAGCAGAGCGAGAGCCCTCAGCTCAAGCACGACATCCCCTCTTTGCTGCACACAGGAAAAGAGAGAGTCCCTGCCCAGCTGCTCCAAATGGGCTAAAAGCACAGACTGCACTTGTGGTCCTTCTGGAGCTCACAGTGTTGTTTTCCAAGTAAAACCAAGGGAGGTCAAAATCAAATCTGCTTTCTGAATCAGTCACTGCTGAGGGTTAGGGCACGGTTCTGTGGTCCTGCTGTGCCTGCTCATCCCTGTGGGGTGGTAACCAAGTCTGCTTTGGACATGGTTTAAATGGCTGTGTTTCACTAAGTTGAACCTTGGCACCTCACTTAAAAGGGTGAGAGGAGAAGTAGAATTGTGTTTTTTTGTCTGTTTGCTTTTTCCAAGCAGAGAAAGAAAGAGAACCTTGCATAACTTTCTGGCTGTCTGATCCTAAAATCATAGCACCTGATGAACAAACTTTCCTTCAGCTTGGCCTCTGTTTTCAGAGAGGTTTATTCCAAGAAGTACAGATCTCTGAGAACTAGATCTGTTGAAGGTATAGGAGGGTGAGGAGGGAAGAACAACAGCCTGATATACCTTGTGTTCCTTCTGGAGTGCAGAGATGCCGGCCTGCTTCAGCTGCAGAGTGGGGCCAGACCAAGTTGTGAAGGGCTTAGAAATGAGGACTGTCTGCTCATTATCACTGCTGTTGGCAGGTTTACTCTCCCTCAATTTCTTTTTCTCTCTCTGGAGAGAATATCTTTGCTTCCCTTTTCTCCCTTCCTTTTCTTCCCTCTCAGTTCCCTAACTGCAGGGACCACAGCTGTGATGACAGCAGCAGCCTCTTGCACTTGTGCAGTACTTGTCACACTGAGGATGTCCTTTTTGGAGAAGCTTCCAAGCATCATTCTCATCTTTCAGCTGGAGATGCTGATCTGAAATCAACTGAAGTTCATGCATGCAGAGGTCGTGTTTAGAGGCTCTATTTTCCTGACCTTAAGATTTACATTTTGCTGCAGGCTGGGTGGCAAGCTGGCAGCAGAATTCACGCTGTCCACTTTTCATCCTGTTCTTCAGCTTTGTTTGCTTTTAGCAGCAGCCTGTGGAGGTCTGGGAATCCAAATGCTCACGGAGTTAGGTGATCTGGGAGCTGAGGTGAATGGAGACTTTAAAAATGTCAGTAATGCTGGAAAGGTGGACTGAGATCCTGAATGTGATAGAGGGATGTTTAAGTGCCCTAAGGAGCAGGGAGTAAATTCTGAGCAGTGGGAACTTTCAAGGTTTGTACAGTGGGAAAGTTCAAGGTTTGTACAGCACTAAGAAGAGCACTAGGACTTAACAAAATAGATACAAGAGTAATAAAATGGACAATTAAACCCATCTCATTAGAGCCTTTGTGCTCCCAGTGCTTGTTACTCGCAGTGAAAAATTTCGATACGTAACTCAGATCCCACAGCGCTGCTGAATGAGATTGGTTCAGGTTGTTGCAAATTTCCCTGCCTGGTGGTTACACAGAACAGGACAGAACCCTTGGGATGCTTCTTGGAGCTACCTCGGAATTATGCAGGTGTCTGTGACAACCTGCCGTAGTCAGAGTGCTTGCACTTGTTTGTGCCTTTATGAAAGATGCAGGGAATGGTATGGGAGGCCACACAGGGAGCAGTGCATGGGGCAGAGGGCGTATTTTAGTGATCCTTTACTACTGAAGAGGCAGGGATAGGGCAGGAGAGCTCTCTTTGCAAGGCACTGGGGAGACATGCCTGATACTTCCAAGGAAAATTCAGTCACAAGAAGCCAGTGCAATGCCCTGTGATGAGCAAAGCCCTGCACGGGCTCAGGACCCTGTGGTTTCAGAGTTGTAGCCGAAGCACTTCCATAAAGAAAGTCCTTCCAATGTTTTTGGTCAAGGTTATGCTCAAGGCAACGAGTCAGTGTACTTGGCTCCTTGTTACCTCATTGTATCTAACCAGCACAGGAGCCCACAGAGCAATCCATCACCCACTGCTGGGGAACTGGCACCTTTGGTCACAGCTCCAACAGAGACCATTACAAGCATGTGTACAGTGCTCACATAACCGCTGTGTCCAGCAGGACACCTCATTAGAGCTGGAATAAGGTTCGGCTAGAAGGAGTTGATGAGGTTTGGCATTCAGTCTAGCTTATTCCTAACTCTTGATTCATTGCCCTAGCTAAGCTGCTGCTTATGGTAACTCTTGTTTCATGGCTGAGAAGCCCTTCTCTGCTGAGAAGCAGCCCTAACAGGAGCTTTGGAAAGGGGAACTAAGTTTAAAGACCTTCCAAACATGAGGTGAGGGCAGAACACATTAAAAAAAGGCAACGTGTGTTTGCTGTGCTGGGAAGCCACCAGAGAAATAGGTTGTTAGTTAGAGACGACAGTAATGATAGTATTAAATAATCTCTATTTTCATTTACTGAGTGCTAATGATCCAAATAAGCTGAAAATCCCAGAGGATGTGTTTCCTGTGGATTAACCCAGCAGAATGGCAAGACATACAGTTATTGTATAATGAAACATCACCAGGGCTTGGAGCTGCTCGGATGCATTTTTGCTCCATTTTCCTCTTCAGAAAGCCAGTTTTTAGCATATTGTTTACATATCAGTGGCAGAAGAGGAATCCTCCACGTGAGGCTGCAGGAAAACTGCTCTTCCATTATCATTCCAGACCTTGTGCAGTCTTCTGTTCCTTTTATCCTCCTCAAAAATATGAGATGACCTTCTATAAACATACATTTGGGGTTTTCCATAACATGTAGTTGGCTTGCATTGAGAATTCAGCCCTGGATTGAGGCAATTAAGCCTCTGGGGCTATAACTAATGTATTTTCCATTTCTGTTAGCACGTAGGGCAACAGCCTGGCAGAAGGACAACACTGAGGCATGGAGATACTGGCCTCACGTTGAATCAGTTTCATTGCAGAATATGTCAGTGGCAGAGGGAGCCTTCTGTCCTACTTACAAGATACACTCATTTCTGGTACTTACTGCTTTCTCTTGGGTATTTTTAATACTTTCAGCAATGGGGCATGCTCAGCTTCATTTGGGAGGTGATCTCAACCAGCCAGAAGTGCCACTGATGTATTTTCTAGATATTCATCCTACACGATGAAATCAAAGGCAGTATATCTTAACCCCTGCTTTGTGCCACTCACAGTGCCACCTCTCATTCCTTATTTTAATGTGCACAGTTTGAAATAGACTGAGATTTGTATTTTAGGAATATTTAGCGTCTGACTTTCAGTAATGGGAGTCAGACTCTAAAGACCCTCTCAGCATCTTTGTTCCTTGACCTTAAGCTGTCTCTTTGAATGTACTTAGTATAACAGAAAGGTTTAAAGTCAGAAATGGGTTAACAGCTAACTCCAGTCTGTTTGGAATTGCTTGCTTTATTACAGATGAAGCCATTGACAGCTTTGGAGGAGATGTAAATGTATTGGGCAGGGGATGGGGCTACAGGGCCTTGCTGCTTATATGAGCATTTTCTACTGTAAATTGCTTGAGGACACAATTTTATCTGATTGTAAGTTTGACTGATAGTAGGGTACCTAAAGTCCTTGCTCAGGCGTTCTTTGTCACTTGTTTTAAGCTCACAGAACACAATAATAAGTTCCTGCTTTTTTTCTCCCATCAAAAGCAGAGGTGTCTTTTCCTGCTGTAATAGTTTAACTGAGCTGTTTGTGATTGATCCTCCTGGCTGCACTTAGCTACTGTGTGGTTGCCATTCTTTCTGCAGAGCTTTACAGGCGACTATCAGTAGATTTGAAAAAGCAATTCTCATTGACATCCTTCTGTTTCCACTGACATTTATAGGAATTTTACTGTTGACTTACCATGCTGACCTTTCATCCTAAGATATGCTCTGCAAAATGCCCTTTTACCTCTCTGGTTAGGCTGTAAAAAGTAGGCCAACACAATTAAAGAAGTCGAAGCTTTATATGGTGACTGAAGCCTCTGCCAGAAGGTGAAAAGAAATCTCCAGAGCTTTGAAAGCAGCCAAATTGGTAAGGAAATAGACCACAGGAGCTGAAGCTGCAAAGTGTTGCTTTTTGCTGTAGTACTGCACAGGTGGGCAGAGTGAACTCTTTACTGTTGTATATCTTGTGCCCTGTTACACTGCCTGAAAGTCCTCTAGCCCTGTGGGATGTACACTTGCTGGTGTTAGCAGGGAAGATGGTTTCTGGACAGCTGACATCCCTGGTTATGGCTCATGCTCCAGGCTCAGGCTTTCTGATGTGTCAAGAGATGTGTCAAGAGGTTATGTCAACTGCTGTTCTCCTCCCTTTCCCAAAAGGTGGCAGATCTGGAAGCATCTGGCCTATGGTTTGAGTTGTACCTCAGAATTACTCATGGATGTGTCATAAAAGCTGATCTAGCCCTTTCTACCCCTTCTCAGATGGGGAAGGGGTACATACCAATCGGATGACCATGTGCCCCACTGTAAATGCCGGTATGCTTGTCTTGAAAAGGGAAACCATTCTGCCCCTCAGATTTTTTTCCATTATTGGTTGTTCTTGGTGTAGAACCACTTCAACATTACAGCTCTTTATCACTGAACACATGAAACTATAAAGCTCCAGTGTGCGGTGCCAGGTCTGACAGCGCTGAGTGTGGTGAGAAAGTTGTTTTGGCTGCCATGCCCATCCGGCCATGGAAACAGCAGCTGCTGGGCTGGAGTTGCACTTCCCTGCTCTGCTGTCAACAGTCGTCTTCCAGTATTTGGCTGTGTTTCTGGCAAAACATAGAAAATGCAGAGCCTGAATGTATTTTTATGGTGCTTTAACGCTGCCTGGCTTGAGCAGTTTCCTACCATGTTCCACGCATGACATCACAGGGTAAGGGTGATGGCTGTTAGCTGTACTAGCAGTGTCCTTTTTCTATGCAGGCTCCTGATGCTGCAAAGGACCCCAGTGGCAGCTGTGTCAGGCCCAGTGACAGGCACCACGTGCAGCCTCTCGTCTGGACAAAGCCTATCGTCCCCCCATGGCAACAGAAGATAACTTTGCAGCAGGTAAAGGGCTGCAGCAGATGACAGACCTCCTAGCTCTGCAGCCCTGCTGCTGCAGCAGAGATGCTGGTGCACAGGAATGCTGCTTGGCTCAAGGAGGCAGAGCCCCTGCAAAGGCTGCATTCACAGCACTGATCACATAGCTCCGGAGGTGCCGGCTGTGCTGGCAAGTGCAGCAGCTATTCTTCATTTTGCAGGAGTGAGAGCCCAGCCTTGGAGGGGAATATATTGGCCAGGATGAAAGGCAGGGAAACATGCTGTACATAGCTTTGAATTTTCAGGAATAACTAAGATCAGAAGTTTTCTCTGAGCCAGGCTGTTTTTCTTTTAGTTGAGAGGAAGCATCTTTGAAGCAGGGAAAAACTCCAGTAACAGTGAAATAGAACAAGGGAGAATGTTTGGATGGACAATTTGCATCCTACAGATAGAATATCCCAATAAGCTCATTGAATACAGGGGACATCTAGTGCACAGTCCTTCTCTTAAGTATAGCACCTAGTGATTAATTGTTTGTGCCCTAGTAATTCATTGTGGAGGGACGTAAAAACTAAAAAAATTGATTGGAAATTACAGAAAGCAAAGAGCTTTCAAACCAGATTTGTAAAGTAGCAACTCAGTAGATATTGCCAAATTCTAGATACTTTTGCAGGTTGTCTATCCTTTGAGAAGAGACGATGAAATTCTGCAGCCTTGGATAGGTAACCAGAAAAACGTGTAATTTTCCAGAGCATTCAGCTGTCAAAATGCTGGAATGCAAACACCTCTCTAGACATCGTGGCTTGAAGTCACTAAGGCTCTTGAAGTCAGGATTGTAAGTTAATATTGATGTGTCAGTCTGATATAGAAAAGGGATGTCTGTTTATCTTTGTATTTTTTCCTGCTCTTTCTTTAAATACTGCAAATTCAAGTCACTTGTATTGTCTTTATTTTAAAGCTAAGTATGATGCTCCTGTTGCTGTCTACTGTGGGAGCGTCCCAAAAGTCAAACCCAGATGCAGAGCTCTGCGGGCTGGAAGCATTGATTCAAACTTGCAGCTTTGTGGCAGCAGATGGATTACTGAAGAAGGAGGTGAGGATGGAGGGTGGTTTAATGTGTGATGGCAAACTCATCCCGACAGAAATCCTGCTTTTAGGAAGAAATGGTCGTTAGAGGTCAGTTCTGGTGCTTCTGTGTCAGAACAGGTAGCTGACAGGGATGTGGATGATCCTGCCCTCCCCTGGAGGTGCTCTTGGCATCACATCTCTATCATCAGTTCGTTACACTTTATCAGTGGTATCCGAATGATGACCACTGCCAGCCATGATAGGGACTGCAGCCCTACTGGCCTAAAATTGGGTGTTGTTATGTGTTACCAGTTCTGTATCTACCCATGCTATTGGTGCACACCTTGCCACTGGTATTCCAAGTTCTTTTTCTGCTTGCCCTTCAGATCTAACCTTGTGTATTGGATGATGCCACTGGTGTGGTTTGCTTGCTTACTAAGATGTCTCTCTGCTTTGAACTAAAACATGTAGCACTGTGCAGATCTTTACTGGTGGTGTTCACTGAAGCCAAGGACTGACATGGGAATGGTTGGTTGTAAAGCAGCAAGGTTAACAACTAACACACTCCTTCCTGTTCCATACCTAGGAGCCATCTCTTCCCTGGAGGGCTGGGACAGCAAGGCTAGTGTGCAGGACCTTGATGCCGGGGCTGGAAGCAATCTCTCCTCCCTTCCTCATCCCCAGGAAAGGGAGGTGAGCAGTGCTGCCTTGGAAACTACTCAGATCAAGGACAAGCTGAAAAAGAGGAGGATGTCTGAGGGCCTGTTAGCCCCACAGAGAGGTAAGGCTGGAGCCTGCCCGCTCTTCAGAAGGAGGCAGGGTCTTTCCCAGCCTAGAGAGCTAGTGCGTATTACCACTGAACATATCTCCCTGTGCGCGTCCTCTGCAATAACCTTCCTTGCTCCATCTTCCACATAGCCCTCTCATTGCTGTAGGGCCGTACCTGCATGCTAACTGCACCGCTGTATACCAGATTTCCAAGAAATCTGTCAAATGTAATATCTATTCCAGGTGCTTTGTGTTTGAAACACTGCTTCTCTTACATTGCGTCTCTCTGTTTTGCAGGCCTAACTGACAGCAGTGACCTGAAGGAGCTTGCCTTAAAGCCAGCAATTTCCAGGTCAGCTTCCCAGAGGCTCCTGGTAACCTCCAAGCCCGTGCCCCCCATCCAGAACAGTCTTCCTCCCCTACAGCCTGGCTGGATGAGCAATGGGGAGCAGGAGCTTAGGGAGGATGGCACAGATCATGGTGGCAAGGAAGGCAACCACAAAGAATTGACATCAGAGGTACGGAAACAAGATAAATCACATGTGGTGGATCTTCAGTGTACTCCTATGGGCAGAGCTCTGAGATCCTCTTTCCCCATTGTGTGAGCACAGGGTGGCAGCTGAGCCAAGGAGGAGCTCAGGTGTCTCTTGCATTTCAGGCTGTCTTTGCAGCATGCTTACAGCATGCTTTGTGTCCCCAGTATATGTGAATAGGAGCATACTTCTGTGCTCTCTATGAACTCCACTTGTGGTTTTATGACCAAGAAAAACTATCAGCAGGAAAATATGTTTCACCTGGCCAAGCGTATCCTTTTACAGTTAGCAGATACACATTTCTGTGAAGCATCTATGGCTGTTATTGTTGCAGGTGTACCAGTGTATTGGCAGCTTCTTATACCAGCTCTGGTTTAGATACAAAAGACGTTTGCTGGAGCAGACAGTCCTGCAAACTGAACTTTGAGTTCCAAGTATAGCAATGTACTTCTGCACAGTTGCTTCTAGCAGTATTGCTAGAGCTCAGAAGCCTCTGTGTGGCTTTGTTGCTTTCTGTCTGCCCAGGGTTAAATGATGGGAATTGGCACTTCTGGCCAGGAGAAGTGGAGTCCAGGCTCTATCCATGCAGCTGGCTTTGCAGGACAGACAGGAGGTGCACTTGTTTTGGTTTTTGTCATGATGGGCACGAGAGGGCAGAAGAATAGCAGCTTTAGTATAAAGAGGAAAAATAACAGAAGGTTTGTGCACTTCAGCCCTGCAGTTATGGGACCATATGTATCCCCGACATTAACTCTGTTGGTTTCAGTGGAGATTGAACAGATCCTGATTTGGGTCTTTGGCCACAAGAAGAATGATGGGGTACTATGTAAAGGAGCTCTGCTCCCACCACTGCCCTTCCTAGCCGTGGTGTGGGGAGCGTGAAGGGGTGACGTTGCCAAGCTGAATGATTTCAGCAGGCAAAAAGCCCTTACGCAGAGTGGCAGGGTAGGGAGTTCTGCTGAACCTAATAAATGTCAGTGAGCCCGCAGTGATGAATTGTGTGGGATCTGGAGAGCACATTAGCATCTGGACCAAAAGGCTGATAGGGAAATGTTGAAAGGGCAGCAGCAGCAAAAGAATTATGGCCTTGAAAAAAGCAGGTTTTGACAGTATGCAAAATGACTTTGTGGGGACTTGGCTGGGGCTCAGTAATGGCTGGTGGGCATCTTTGGACAGCAGGGGGATAGCGATCTGAACCCATTTCAATGCCATACGAAAGTTAATAGAGGTGACACCACCCCAGAACATCCTATCTACCAAGCAGATTGCTGCCACAGAGGTGAGCAAAGGGGGAGAGCTGTCAACAGCATGGGACATGATCCCTTTTTCACCACTTGACTTTCCATTGGCCATCCCAGGCCAAGACATGCCAACAGTTTGATTCATTTTTTCCTAAAAGACTTAGGAAAGAGTACAGCTAAACTGCTTGTGGCATCAAGTGCTTGGGCTGAGCACTGTGCTCTCCTATTTCCAGGCTTCACTGCAGCTTCTGTACTGCAGTGACGAGGAAAGGAAGAAGTCACTGGGGGTGGCTTTGATTCCTCCCATCCCCAAGTCAGCAAGACCATCTGATGGGGATCCTGGCAGCACTGAAATACCTCTCCCAAGCTTGCAGCAGCTGGTTTCTCAAGAGCCCCTGGAGATGAGGTAAGCCAAAGTGTCTGCCTCTGGTATTCTGTTCAACTCGCACATCCCATGAGGTTATTTTCCACAGCTGACTCTGCAATGTATTTGTACAAACTTCTGTGTATTCACCAGACTGTGTATCTATAGTGATCCAACGCGTCAAACCCAACATCATACTCTTTAAGAGCAGGCAGGGGAAATGGAGACAGGACTTCTGAGGAACTTAAGAGCAGATGCTCTGCTGGATTCTGATACTAATTCACTTTTTAATCCTTGTGATGCCATTTAGGAGCTGTGCTATATAGATCTGAATCCAGCATCTGGTTGTGTGTGTGAACTTTGCCAATATCTATACCTGTAAGAAACCAGTATCTGTACCTGCAAAAATATGCCGGGACAAATATTAGCTATTATATAGCTGCCTACCAAATTTAGGTGCTGCTTTTGTAAGTGTTGCTTCTAACTCCTCTTTATTTGGGTCTTTGATGTGGAATGAGAGCAAGGATAAATCTGTTTTTGGATGTATAATCCTATAGATGTGTAATATTTACCTATGGTTTTAAGATCAAAAGAGCAGGGTGCTAGGGAACAGTTACAGAGCTGTAAATGATGGACAGATACTTGGGTATGCTTAGGGAAATCTAGCTGCCAACTTTATCCTCATTGTACCTGTAAATAAGGACTAACAGAAACACAGTTCCAATTAAAAAAAAACTTCAGTATAGCACTGCAATCTGAATACATTATGTACCAGCTGAGTTGGAAGAAAACTCTTCCCTCTTGAAAGAACAAGGAGGTGTAATACTATTCTAATGACAGAGCTGTGGTATTATCATCTGTACCAAGATACTGTCATCAGTTTAAATCACGACCCAGCAAAGTTAGACTTCTGCTGCAGTGTAGATGTAGCTGTCTCTCTGTACAGACTGAAGACTGACTTAACATCTCTTGCTGATTCAGAAGGGCGTCTGTAAAAGAGAGAGCCACTTAGCTCCAAAAGAGAGACAGCAGAATTGGATCTTGAACGCCCACACTGAGGAATCTGATTCCTGCACTTCAGCTGGAACTAGATGTTTCAGTTGGAGCTGTGTGACTTTACAACTTGAAAGCTTAATGGCAGTTAATGAGCTTTTCATATCACTGGTTTTATGGGTTGCATATCTTTCTTCACCGGAATGATTTTGCTAAGGAACTTTTCCTCCTTTAAAGCTAACCCTCTCCTTTCTCTCTTTTCTCCTCGATTTTCTTAAGGCCAAGATCAGGCAGCAGAACAGAAGAGAAGACCCCTATGTCTCTGGGTAGGTACAGGTCATCACTATCCTAAAATGATCACGAGAATCCTGACCTATGGTTGGCACTGTGAAATTCCTGTTGAAAACTATCCTGTAACTTTTTGTTTTCCTTACTATGCTCAGATGACTACTCCTGTAAGTGGGAGAGGGTGCTCTGATAATCCAGTGAAAATAACTCCAGCAGGGGGTCTGAATGGCAGTAGCTGGGGGGGTATTCTGGCATCCTGGAGATGTACGGCAGGAAAAGAAATTCTCTCAACCTTTCCACATTGTGCTCTTTTCTACACTCATGGTTTGTTTTTTTTTTTTTTAATCTTCCTGAGTGCTCTCTCATGGTCTGAAGATTAGAGAAATGAGAAATGCTCCCACTCATTCCACCTGTGCTTGGAGGAGGAAACATTCACTCAGAGCAGTTTCTCATCCTGAACCAAACCCTTTTGAGATCTGAAGTAGATTCACAAACATCTCATGTTTTTACACTGGAAGAAGTAGTGAAACGTTATGCAATAAGAAGTCCTTGTGAGTTTTCCATTTAATGATGAAGGACTTAAGTCAATGCAGTGCTTGTCTGAACTCAGCCTTCCATCCTCTTAAAACACAAGTCTAAATCAAATGCTGAGTAATGAGCAGAAGCTTCCTTCTTTTTGCAACTAATTTGCTTTAAACGACATAAGCTATGCTTATTATGATGAATATCTTCCCCTACTCTATCTGCAGTTGTCAGTTCTGCAAATTCAGGCTGGGTTAGGAGATGACTGTTGGCTGTTGTTTTTTCCCTTGCATTATGACTAGCAATAAAAGTTCTGCAAGATAAAATAGAGTGTCAGTTGCATCTGTGTTAGCCAATACTTTTAAGTTGAAAACCTCAATGACACCATCGCTGCTTCTTTGCCATCTGTGAGCTTGGAGTGATGAGAGAGATGAGAGTTTAACAAATAATTTTGCTGATGTAGAAAAAGAGATAAGATTCACTGGTCTCTCAGCTTGGTGTTAACTCTGCCAAATAACGAGCGTACGCTGTAGCAATGATTACTTTATTGCTGATATGAAGCTAGGATGCTGAATGCAGCTAGGGAGAAGTATTGCTGAGTAAGTAAGGTGACATTTTTGGTGGATACATTCTGGACTAGAAATGAGCTATATCATTAAACTATCTCTCTTTTTCTCTCTCTTTATTATCGACCTGGCCATTCAGCAGGGGAAAAAAATCCTGATTTAAAAAAGTTATTCCTTTTTTTACTACTTGGCTATTACATGACTTTATCATCTGTGAAGCCATGTGAGGAATGATTAGTTCTCTGAGTCTTAACAGCTCTGTTGGAGAGAATTTCAGAATGAGCTGTACTGTACTATTCCCCATAAGATAATCAGCCTTTAGTGAGGCCACCCAGGAAGTGAGCTAATCTGCTACAATTTATAATGAAACTCGTCAGAGAGAATGAATGCAACTTTGAGAACACAATTCTATTTTTGGTATGACTCTAGCCATCTCAAGTTTTCCTTCAGATGACCTGTAAAATATTCCAGCAAAGAGAAGGAGATATTGATATAGGCCTATAGCTATCAAAACCCAAGGAAAAAAAGATTTACTAAAATGAAAATGGGTAGATACAGATAAGAAGCTTTCTGATGAGGACACTCTTCTTTCTCTTCTCAAACACAGCTACTTAGCAGGAGCTGAGGCCTTTGTCATTCAGTAGACTTGAGTTTTGCCAACAGGAAGTACACTTCTGCTTCTGTATGTTAAGTGCCTTCTCAAACATAATGGTATTCATATCTCCTCAGAACTCCGGGCTCTGGAACCCATCTTGCCTATTCCCCAGCATCGTGTTGCCTGTAGCATGAAGTCTGCGGGGCATCTGTGTGAACCTGTGCCCCCGCTGGCAGATCTGCCCCTCAGCCAGGCCAAAGAGATGGATCACCTTTCAAGTCCTTGCCTTCTGAAGGACAGTGACTGGAAGGACAGCACTGGAAGGGTAAGGGCTGTGGGTAGGGGTGAGCAGGTTTCTTTTTCAATGTCAGTGACCGCTTCAGTGACAAAATGTCACTGAAAATCATCATATTCCTCTCATATGGAGAGAGGCGTTTGTTTTTGCTGGTGCAGATGCTGGTTGAGAGATAGCACTAAGACAAATAAGAAGCATTCTTCACCTATGAAAGCCAATTCTGTGCAGATCTAAATGGTAGATTCAGTTATACTTTCAGTGAAGGTGTGCAACGTGCGTGTTTGGGAGAAAAGAACATAATGTTAGGTGTAAGCAAAGTTGCAAAAGAGCAGTTTTCTTTTTTTGCTTTAATTGTGGCATCTCATAACTTTGTTACTCTCAATTTTTCATTTCATTAAGACCAGTGTTGCTCAAGATTTTTTGTTTGAATCCTCTTCTGGACACATGCTTTTCAGGGAGCAACTGAGTTCCTCAGGAACAGAGAATGGAAGAAGAGCAGTGAGTGGTGTTTGCTCTCCTGCCATGGCCTGTAGGAACCAAGCTGTCTGCCCTCTAGTAATGTGGGCTATGCTTTTTGGGGCACTCCTCTTGGTTTCAGCAGGACAAAGCAGCATCTTGAACCAGTGGAAGGATTCGGAAACAGAGTGTCATAGACCATTGGATATTGAGATGAGGAAAAGGAGGAAATATTCTGAAACAATTGGTATATTTGTGGAACATGCATTAAGGACCATGATGATCAAGCACTGTGTTCCTGATGAGGGGTCACGTGCAGTTTGTGCATCTCTCTTCATGCTCATTGATGCATTTCTTATACAACTAGATCCATATCACCATATCCAAATCTGCTCAGGAGAAAATGCGCCAGAAGCAAATAAAAGAGATGGAGCTTTTGCTCAGAGAGAGGGAGAAAGAGAGAGCAAAGGAGAAGTCATTGCAGGTCTCCTCTTGGAGTGCTGACCCTGGGGGTGTGGCTGGAGAAGGTGAGTGGTTGCCATAGCTGTGGGGCTTTGTGTTCACTTGTTTACTGTTTGCATAGTGTTGTAAATATCTATGAAATCAACCTGGAAGGCTGTTTCACTTACATCTGAGTGGAAGTTAGAATATGATTTATTTCTGTTTTCCAAAGAAAATTACAGAGGCATGAAGTGTCTTGCCTGCAGCCCATAGCGAGTCAGTGACAGAATATAAATAACTTCTCCTCCTTCTCCTACCAAGTCTTGCAGACTGTATAAGTCTTGCAATGACATTTGGGCTTCAGACTTTCTAATTGAGAGTAGCTTACAGGGAAGGTGAATGGGTGAGTCTGAAAGCTTCTCAACTAAGATGCAACCTGGAACAGCAGAAATCGGGCCATTTCCAATTAGAAGGCAAAAAGAAATTATTGCTCACGCGATAGGACAGATTATTCTGCTCCCTGCCCCCAGCTGAGGAGCTTGCATTGCTGAGCCATGCTGGAGCCCTTAGCAACGCTCACGTTTTACCCACATGAATGCACGGCTTTGCTGACTTAATTGCAGCTGACAGGCTCCGATTGTCCTGCAGCATGCATTACCATGAGTGCTGCTGCAGTGATCTTAAGAAGTCAGCACCCAGCCCAAGGGCACCACACAAGGTTATTTGCTCTTTCTCTTGCTGCTGTTTTGTGAAATGCTGGTAAGGAGTGCTGAGGTGGGAGCTTAAGAAATGTAGCTTCTGTATCTGGCCTTTGAAACAGGAAAACAAAGGAAGGGCAGTGCAGAGTTTTCTTCATTTTTGAGTGGAGAATATCATTGCATTCTGCTGTTAGTCCCAGGTTAGCGTGCAAAATGTTGCGCTTGGAACAACAGGACAACAGATTGTTACCCAACTCCAATAACAGTTCTAGCCATTTTCAAGCCTACAGTCACCCTGTCCAACATCCTACTCACAAGGTGCTTTTCTGTCTCTGCAGACTTTGGCCCACCGCACATCAATGGGGCACTCTCCATCTCCTCCAGCACCAGCAATGCGTGCAGGTCAAGCATTGGTACCACATTGAGGAAGCGGGTCAACAGGCCTTCCTTACCCAGCATCCCTGTCATCAGCCAGGATACCAGCTTCCCACGGCACTCCTCAGGTGAGTCTGCTCTGCTGCAGCTGCCACACCAGCTCTTCTCTCCCACAAGGAGCACAAACTGCTTGTACTCCAAACACAGGTGGTACCTCAGATCTGAATCCTGTCTTGAGGATTGAGAGCAAGCCTGCTTTGAAGCCACTCCAGCCCAGTGATACTGGAGCAGGTGGTTCTTACGGATCCAGTGGAAAGTTTAACTGAATAAAGCAGCGATAAAGCCTTAACCTCATACTGAAAGTCTAAAATAGAACACTGGTGCTAGCTTTAGCCAGTAGCTTAAACAGGGAGGCAGCTATACCTGCAGGGCTAACTCACTCTGCACGTGCGTGTACCACCATGATCAGTTAGCACTTACTACCACCTACAGTGATAGGACAAGGGGGAATGATTTTAAAGTGAGACAGGGGAGGTTTAGGTTAGGTATTAGGAGGAAGTTTTTAACCCAGAGGGTGGTGATACACTGGAACAGGTTGCTCAAGGAGATTGTGGATGCCCCATCCCTGGAGGCATTCAAGGCCAGGTTGGATGTGGCTCTGGGCAGCCTGGTCTGCTGGTTGGTGACCCTGCACATAGCAGGGGGGTTGAAACTACATGATCACTGTGGGCCTTTTCAACCCAGGTCATTCTATGATGCTGTCATGTCTTTTGCCTGTGCCAGATTTTCTACTGTTGCAGCAGCTAACATACAAGAGAGGCTGCTTGGGGGTCCCAGACTGCCTGCTACCTGCAATAAATATGCAGCAGATACTGAATGCACAGAGATTCTCATTTCTGTTTTGTGGGTAGCCTACTCACGTTGTGAACTACGGAAAAGGGAGCTAGGAATCATAATTCAAATTGTGTATTCTAAAAGTGCTACTCATTGATTTTTCAAAATTGACCAGAACTAGCCTGACATGACTCTCCATTCATGTTGAATATGTATATCTATGTATTTGTACAGACATCGCTAATATCAGCGAGATCTGAATTTTGGCCCATCAGAGCATTTTTGAAAAAATTGTTGCCGATTTTACAGTTCCTCCATTCTTCACATTTTGTAGAACACACAAGGAAGCTTAAATATTCTATAAAGTCCACGTCAGTTCATCTAGATTCTATCCAATGTTTATACTCAATACTTCCAGACAACTCAGGTGTTTTCATCTACACTTTAGAAAATGAGCTTTTCAGAGCAAGACATGAAAACTATAAAATAGTTTTCTAAACAAACGCATTTGTCATCTCAATTTTGTGATACCTTCTACATATATCATCAAGAGAGCGTGTTTGCCAACAATTTGCATCTATATTTACATATTCCCAATTCATGTTTTTTTTTTTTGTCACAGCTATCTAGACTAGAAATTGCATTTTTCCACAAGAGAAAGCTTAGGCACGGCACAGTTTGCAAACGAGTACCTTTGATGACAAATAAATTTCACCTCGGTGTCTTCAAAGTACAACCAGTGCGTACCACTGAAATAGTAAATATTCATAGCACTTGGAAAATAACAAAAACTATAAACTACTACTTTCCCAATAGTACATTAAAATATGTGTGCACTCAGCTGCCTGCTGTCTAGAATGCTTGAAATGAATGGAAACGGGTGCACCACTGGGATTTAAAGGATGAGGTATTGGTTCCCCAGTGGTTGCTCCTTGGGGATTTGCCTGAGCCCAGCAGGACTCAGCGTGCAGATTTCAGGTTTACAGAAGGAGTTGGAGCCCAGTATAGGGCAGAGGGGGGATGCTTGGGTGCTGGGGAAAGCAGTAAGTCAGGAAGCAGAGAAGGTTCTTGAAGGCAAAGCCAGTTTGTACCCATATGTGATCTCAGCTGACAGCTTGGTTTGCAGCATGCTCTGTGGTGCCATACCTTGCCAAGGGTATGCACTGACAATGTCTGATGACCCTCTGCCTGCAGCAAACTCACTGCCAGCCATTGCTTTGGGCTGCCTGGAGTGGGGAGAGGAGCCTGAATGTGGGGACGCCAGGGAAACCAGACCCTTCTCTCATCCAGAGCAGGGGCTGCTCGATGCACTCGCATGGCTCAGCAGCAGTGACTGGTAAGAACCTCCCTTCTTCTCATCCTTTTTTCCTCTCAGTTCAAAGGTAACTTAAATGTTTTCTTTCAGCACCTCTGTGGCCAGGCAGTCCAGACAGACAAAAGGAACTAGTGAAACTACTACAAAGCCATCACAGGGCAAAGATGTGTGGCAGCCTCTTGCATGTTCTGGTCTATAGCAGTGCTTACAACCACAGCAGGTCTATGCTATCTTCTAGCTTTGCCTTCTGCTCCACAAATGAAAGCTTCAGGAAAGAAAAAAGTCATGGAACATGACAGTGTTGACACCAGAAGCAGTCCTGACTTCAGAGATTTGGAGCCCTCAGGATGCTGGCCTAGGTGGAACTGAATAAGGAGTTCTCTCTGGTCCTGCTACTGGCAGCAGGAGAAAGCCCTTTGCCTTGGTGGTGTCTATGGGGAGTTGCAATTTCTGCAAAACAGACTGAGAAGTGCTGCAGAATTGCTTGACCTCTTATTTCTCCTGAAAGGCTTGTAGCAGAAGAAAAGGAAAAATATACATATCTTTTCGAATCCTTGCACTTCTAGAAACTAACTTTTCTTCCTTGCAGCTTGCTATGGGTCACACAAGGATATTTTGTTGATAATCATCATTTAACCTGAAATTAGATGAAAACAGGAGACTGAATTTCAGGTGGGCGTCTTTTTGATTTCTGGGCTCTGTTCACACCATGATAACTGTGAAAAATCTCCAGCTTTTGAAGCAACTCCCTTGCATTTGTGTTTTGCTTTATTCCCCTCCACATTGCACAGGTGAGGGGCAGAGAGCTGCTACAAGTTTGAGCAGACAAGGTCGTGCTCAGGGATCCCAGTGGTGCTGAGTTACTTCCCCTACAGCCCTCTGGGCCTTGACTCTACTCCATGTCCTTATCCAGCCCAGGTCTTTCATGAACACAGCCAGGAAAGAATGGCATAGGAAATTTGTGTGCTGGTGCCTTCAGGAAAGCTGTTTTGTTTAATGGCTACAAATTAACCTTGAAACCATCTATTTGCTTTCTGGATTTGCGAATGCTTTTGATCATGACAGCCTCCAGTGGCAACCAGTTCCACTGTTCAGCTAAGTGCTGAATGAGGAGCACTTCCCTTTGTTTGTTTGAGCCAACACCTCAGTAATTTGTGAGGGGTGCTGCCTTCTCCTTGGGTGGTGAGAAAAATCAATCTCTTTGGTAATTGCCTTTCAGGCAGCTGAAGGGGAAAGGACTCTTCAGCATCAGACGCTTGGCCATCTGCCACTCGGAAATCCTCCTCAGTAGACTTCATGATGTTACCTTGGCAGTTACCAAAGAGGTAGGAATATTGTTTTTAATTGAGTCCTACATACACTGCACATGGGGCATATATTAGTTATGTACCTGCTCATTTACATGCAACCTCTGTGTCTGCCTTCGTTACTATTTTGAGATCCTTAGTCTCTAATAGCTATGTCACCTATCTATATGATCTGTCTATATATATAGTGGTACATGGTGTATCTTTGCCTCTCCTCTTTCAGCTAGGTGATCATTATAACTCAATATACAAATGAAGAACTCATCAGGTGATTTGCCACAGCCCAAATAGCTGCCCAAGCTGTAATTAAATGCTGCACCTTTCGCCTCTCAGCTCCCTCCCTCTTTGTCTTCCTCAGCATCCTGGGGATTAAATATAGGTATATACTTTTCAGCGTTTCCTGATGATCTCTTCTCCTTTTTTCTTTCGGTGTGCTTTTTGGTGATTCATCCTTTCCACTTATCCACTGCCTGCATGCACTAGTGATATTTTGCATTGCAGCCTCTGTGCTTGGAGCATCCTGGCTGTGGGATGTGCTGGGCACACAGCTTTACTGTCCCACTGTCAAGTTAACAGAATTCTTACCCTAAGCTCCTTAGAAAAATCTGTGACAATATATCGAACCTGGCATTTGTTGATGGCCCAAGCAAGCTGTCTTTTATTACATGACTGCCAAATCTATTAAATTCTCCTTTGATTGCAGAACATGGTAAGACTTAACTCCTTTCCATGAAAGTCAGTCCTTATCTTTTATCCAGCGTCTAATGATATTGGAGGTTTGAATGTCCCTTGTGTTGAACTCTTCAGACTTTTTATATATGCACAATTCAGACTTTCTCACTGAGAGCAAGGTTAGGAGAAGACGACCTTAGAGCTTATCTTGTTTGATTTTGATGTTATTTTTATGCTTCTGAGGATCTTTTTTTCCTTTTTGCTCTGTGCATTCATGTGCAGAGACATTGTTCAGTTTTCATTTCCCTCCAGCCCCAGATTTTGCTTTCACAAGCACTTGTAGCCCGTTGGTCTATTTTCTTAATAAGCACAATCAGTTCTGGCCAAAAGAAGGGCTGGACTGTCCTCTGAAGTGCCTTTTGAATGAAGCACTCCTTAGGTGCTTCTTTCTTTCCTTTGTGGGAGAGTTTATTGGAAGCATGGATTGCTTCAGAGCAGCACTGGAAGTTAAAAAAGCCTTTTGACAACACCTATAATTGCAAGTGGTCTTCCAGAATCCTTGAGTCCAACAGACTGAGTAGATGGAGAAGCATATGGACTCAAGTTCCTTTTGTGAATTTTGTTGTAGACTGAAATAATGAACTCCATTTCCTGAGTGAGTGCTCAAATGGTCAGTGTTATGTTTTTGGACAGAAGGGAAGTGCCATTGTTCCTCTATCTTGTCAGCTCTTATTATTATTTTGTTTTCTCTCAGTGAAAGGGCCTAAAATCAAAATAGTGTATGGTGTGGGCTAAGTAGAGTACTTTATTCTATGGAACAAAGTTTCTTAGGCCTGCAGGTTCACTGAAATTGGATTGTAAGTGGGCCGGAGGACACAAAAGAAGTTGGTGTTAGGGTAAGTTGAGTTTCTGCACTTGTGATCTCCCATCCTTCTGTTCCACACAGACACAGGAAAAAAAAAAAAATGGTGTTGTTTCCTGGTACTTCTTACGTTTCCCCTCATGACTTCCCCAGGTGAACAACCTCCGCTCGAAGGTGTCTCGCTTTGCAATCAGCACTCTTGGAGAGCTCTTCAGGATCATGAAGAAACACATGGACCAGGAGGTAGAGGAGGTTGCTCGGGCCTTGCTGCAGAAGACAGGGGACTCCAGCGAGTTCATTCAGAAAGCAGCTGATCGATCCCTGGGGATTATGGTGGGGAGTGTGACTCCTGCAAGAGCAATGGCTGCTCTCCTGGCTGGTGGGGTCAAGTATGTGGTTCTTCTCTTAGTGATATCCTTCACCTAAAATTGTGCACTAGATGGAAAGGATGGGATACGGAGGGAGGACAGAAAGAGGGAAGGGTCCTTTATCCTGGATATCCTATGAGCTCAAGAGTTGAATGTGTCCAATTACTCCCTTCCTCAGCTCATTTACTTCTGTCCTGCTGTAACCTACTTGCTCTTACAGCCTGTCAGCGGTGCCTAGATATGGTTAATGATGAGGAAGCAAAAGCCCCGGTGGAGGTTGGTGGTATGGCCTTGTGGCTTTGTGGGAAACAGGACAATGGTAATTGAAACAGTGAATGCCTTTGCTGTTTCACAATACTAACCACAGAGGCTCTGGTAAAAAAAAACACATGCATCATCATTATGCCACTAACTTGAGAAACAGGGATGCTAATTGCTGGGTCATGGAGCATGCAGAGGAGGATGGGCTGGGTGCAGCACAGCCTGCTCAACAAGCGCAGCTCCTGCCAAGAGGACGGTCGTGTCCTCAGAGCTACTCTTTCTATTCAAATTGATGCTGCGAGTTGGCTTTGAGATGGTGAGTCACTTCACAGGCAGACTCCCATGAGATATCTAAAGTAGATGCTGCCTTAAAATACTAGTGCCATGTCTGATAGTTTTGGAAAGGCACACTCTAGAAAAGACAATTTGGCTGAAATGACTACTACCCTTTCCTTAGCTTTTGAAAAGGGTAATTCATCCAAACACTTATCAATTGCCAAGCTTCCAAAAACAAACTGGCTGCACTGCTGCATATTCTGCACCTTCATGCTCCACAGAGCTTTTCCTACTCTTTCAAGAGTCACCGATTTAGAAGCAGGTGGAATAAGCCTCAATCCTACTACAGTGCCCTCTGTGGTGGGAGCCCTCCAATGAGTCACCAGGCAGAATCTTTTCTTTTCTTCTTTCTCACGGTCAATAATATCAGGAAAGAAACTGATTATCTGATAGTCCAGGGAGATTGAATTCTTCCCTCTTCTCTGTACGTATCTGTATTGTGCCAACATATGTCTGAGGGCAGTCTCTTCTCCTGTTGGCAAATATTGCAGTGAGGATTCATGCCTGCTTCCCCAGCGATGACAAGCACCAATACTTGTCCTTTGGGCTCTCCTTTCCCCTCTGCTCCCTTTTTTCCAGTCACCGCAATGTCCTGGTCCGGAGGTACGCAGCAGAACACCTGCTGACTGTGATGGAGCAGATTGGAGCTGAGAAGCTCCTGTCAGGCACACGTGACAGCGTCGAGCTTCTTGTTCACATGCTGGTCAAGCTTGCTCAGGACTGCAATCAGGATACAAGGTGATAGTTCCTCATCTTATCTCCTAAAAATGGAAAGCTGTTTGGTGTCTGGCTATGATAAAACAGCAAAAGAAGGGAAGATGAAGTAAATATTTTAAAAGTTATTTCCTAATGTGAATAATGATGTCTTGGGAAACAACTGCACTGGCTAAAATGAGGTTGTCTAACAAGAAGGACTGCTGCTAAGTTCCTGTGACTTGAATGATTTTTTTTATTCAGATCAGCTGAGCTCAGACTAATCAGCAGCATTAGCTGATTATCACATAAGGATCCCAAGCATTTCCTCCTCATAAGGTTAAGACTGCCCTAGAAAAAATTCCCTTTTTCTTCAAGCAAAGCATTCAGTCTTTCAAAATCCCTTCTGCAGATTTAGTTGTCTAAGGTATTTACATTTTTTTCTTTCCAACAGTGTAATGTTATCTGTGGCTGAACAAACTACTGATTTCCTCTTGCAGATAGCTGGAGTTTCATAGCAGGTTATAAACACAAACGAAGGCCCCTTACTTTCTTCGTTACTCTAAATTCCCATTAGTAGATGCAAGAATGCACAACTAACTGCCCATGTTTATACCTGTAGTACAGAATAAGAAATAGTAAGTGTGAATTGATCTGTCCTAGCTTCTCTGCAAGGAAAGGAAAAGTTTAGTGGAATGGCAGCAAAGCATTGGAATTAAATTACAATAGCAAAGTGGATCTGCTCCATAGGATCCTTTGATTGCAGAATTTCACTGTGAAATTATATTCTCCTGTTGCCCTCTGTCCTTGAGGGCTCTTCTCTTCAATTGGCAGCGGTGTCAGGTGGAGGTAAACATCTCACTTTGCTGAATGCACACTACCTTCTTATGAAGGTACTGCAAGTGATGAGTTGAAAATTGCAGCACATTCTATTAAATTCTTTCTTTTGTTTATGCACAAGGCAACAGAGATTGCAGTAATACTCTGTAGCTAAAATGTTTATTCATTTCTCTCTTCCTTAGGTTTTATGGACGGAAGATGCTGAATATATTGATGAGTCATCCAAAATTTGATGGACATTTGAAACAATTTCTCCCCTCCCGTGACTTGCAAGTTGTTATGGCAACAATTAAGCAGAAAGTAAGTTCTTGGCAGGAGACACATCTTTTATGCAAGTTCTAAGATTGCCAATATGAGATTAAGCACATTTAAACTTTCTTTATCTCGTTCTTCTTCTGCTGGATCATTTTGCTTCTGAAAATGAACTGTTGTTTCTTAGCGTGTTTATCAGCAAACAGTGAAAGAATCAGTGTGATTAGAAATAAAGTGGTTGTCTGTTGAATATCAACGACAAACAGGATAGGAAGCCAGGAGAAAATGGTTTTATCTCCTTCCCTAAAACCAAAACCCCATATAAAACACCCTGTTGCCCCCACCCTACAGGATACAGCAGATGAAGGAAGCAGTAGTGCCAACAAATTTCCCAAATAAACAAATATACACAAAGCTATCACAATCAGTGGTGATATTGTCTGTATTCTGGGAATGCTGCCCTGCTTTCATGCACTACAGATCTTGAAGAAGCTCTGTGAATTTGGCAGCCAGTAGAAAATCATTCTATTTTTTTCTTTCGTTCCTCTCCATTTATATTCCAGAAAAGAATGTGCCTTTGTGCAGGAACAGGGAGAGTGAGAACCAAATCAACTCGCTAACATAATGGGCCAACCTCCAGAGAGTCCAAAAGCTTTCTGCTGCTCTCTCTGGGAAGGTGTGTTCCCTTCCCTTAGTCTGCATTATTCCCATTTGTGCTCATACCTGATGATTTACATGCTGTCATGGTAACACCTACAAACCTGCATTAGGTTAGTGAAAACAAAACCTCCAGCAGAGATTGCGGAATCTCTGGCCCTCTTCCGTCTCTACATTATGAAATGTGTTCTTAAGCCTTTCTTCGTAGGTGTGATCTTGGTGATAATCTGTGCTTAAGCAAATGATTTCCTATCTTATCTTTGATAAATTAATGTGCTTTTTAATATATGTATTTAGGGGATGGAAGACCGTATGTCTGAACCTCCATCTGCCAAAGGCCGCAGGGAGTCTAGGAACAGTGGCTTGATGACATCCCAGGAAAACTTGCCTTCTGATGAAGGGTACTGAACTCTTCTGTTTTATCTGACAAAACATGTGACAAGCTTTTCATGTCCTCTCCTCAGTAAAATCTGTCTGGTGGAACTGCTCCAGAGTATGTTTCCTGCCCCACAGAACCTTTTACGATGAAAAAAGTCTGCTTCTGCTCTAAGCTGAAAACAACTTCTCTAGGAGGAGTACATTTCCTCAGAGATTGAGAGATGACAAGATAACTGCCAGTGGCAGCTCAGAAGAGCCAATGCAGTGGTTAGGACAGTGATGTGATGTAGAGGCTGTGAGAGGGTCATGTTTCTGCTGTTCGACTTTGGACTTATGTTTTCAGTCAAGACTTCTTATCATAGTGAAGTCTTTTTTTTTTTTAATGTGGGTAATTTTACTGAGAAATCCCAGTCTGGAATGAAGATGCCAATCTCGAAATGGCACTTTCCATGCATGTGGTTTGACCTGACTGAATCAATTATTTTCAAACAGCATCAGCAAGATGACTTCTGACCAGCTTTGGAAGACAGCCAACTTAATGTGGACTTCTTAGGTAGCTGTCTGTCATTTAGACCTATGATGAGTTTTCTGATGGACAGCATCTCCTCTATGCTGCAGATTAGCATCCAAGATAGGAATTTAGTCTACCCATGCCAGTGGGAAAATTACTTGATACCTGTTTTCCTCTGACAGCAGAGCATACTGTTGTGCTCAGTGATAACAAGAAGATGACCACATACCTCCCTACCATGTTGTGATCCTTCCCTGCCCACGCCAGGGAGAAGTTGATCAAAGGGAATTGTTTTCACTGAGTTTTCTAAGCTGTGAATCCATCTCTAGGGAAGTAATACTGCGAGCACAGTAGTGGGTTGAATGACTGAGGTTTTCATCTGTGTTACCAACTCTCTGAATCCCTTCAGATATGCCCTTTAATCTCTTCTGAGTGAGATTCACCTGTGCCGATCATATGAACTACTCATCCAGATTCCCATGCATATTATAGAGATGCTTCCCCATGACGAATCATTTCCTTGTAATATAGACCTCATAACTTTGAAGTAGTGCTTATTTTTCCCCACGGAGTAATGCTAGATGACTACTTTGAAGACATCTGAAGATAACTGAGGTGAATTCTATCCCTGGTGCCTTGGTTTTCCTGAGTAACCAGTAGTGACAAAGTTACTTAGAGGCTGCCTCCTGTAACAATTGTCATGAGATCAAAGCTGCTTTTCCGATCAGGATCTAGCTGAAATAACTTCATTAGGAAGTCTCCTCAAGATCTTTTCCTCTCAATTAACTGACAATGTCATTACTAAAAGGACTTACTTTGTTTTTACTTTCCAATTTGAGGTCCAGCTCTGATGTCCTCCTCTTACCCCATCAGACAGTTCGGCGCACATCACTTCGCACTGTGGAAGAGATGGAACAACTCAAGGAGCTTAACAATCTCCTGTCAGCAAAGGAGTTTCAGACACGAATAGAGGGTGTCATGCTCCTCCTAGATCACTGCAAAAGCAACCCTCAGCTGATCTCAGCAAATATTGTCCAGGTAACTAGGCCATCTCTATAGCTCCTTTCCCTTTAGTTTCCTTTGAAGCCTGTCACAGTAAATTAACTTCATCTGCACTACATGGTAGCCATTCAGGACTGGCTGGGCCCCTCTCACTCAAAATAATTTAATTCAGCTCCATGTTCAAGGCGAGCAATTTCAATCTGATGTATTTCTTTGGTAGGTGCCTTGTTGCAGCTGTTCAGGAGATGACGATGGAGTTTATTGTTGCTGTAGCTTTTGTTGTCTCCTACTCTGTTAGGTGGAAAGAAAGGAAATCTAGAAACTGAAAGCTTGGCAATTCTTCCACAGAAGAATGGCTTGGGATGAGGGAGAGAAGTATCATGCTGTGTTAATTTAAAAATAAGAAATTAAAGGATACTTCTGTGAACTTTCTTTTTTTTTTTTTTTTTAATGAAGGCACAGTTCAGGCCATTCACTCCCTTTCTCACCTCTTTCTTGGTTGGGAAGGACTGTTCTCACCCTTCTTAGGGCTCCTCTTTTCTTTTTGTAAAGGTAACAATAATAGCTAGAGACACGGCTTCCTTCTTCCTGTTTTTTTTTCCCCTTTCCAGAGAATATGGTGCCTGGTAAAGTGGTTGACGTTGCTTGAATAAGAAATGGCACAATAATTTAAACTCTAGAAGTCTATCTTAGAGAGATGTTTCACCTCAGAGGTGGTGTGGATCCTCAGGAGTTCATCAGAGCCCTGCTCTCCTCCAGATCCAGGCTCTGAGACAGAGATAAAACAAAGAGAAACTCCCATCCTCACCCAAACCTTGTAATACTGCCTGAAAATCTTTTAACCCAGCCTGAGGTTGTGAAAGGTAACATAAGACAACTTACTTACTCAACTACTTAAGAAGTAAGTATCCCTCAGGAAGACAGTGAATTCATGCTAGCAAGCATTAACCTGACAGAAAGCGTTACATTTGTCTATAAGTGGTTGGGAATTTGTTTCTACATTGTAGAAAGACAGACATTTTAACCCAGCTTTGGCGTTGTTTGTTTTCTTAACAGATTTTTGATGTTTTTGTCCTGAGACTTCAGGATTCCAATAAGAAGGTGAAGCAGCAGTCACTGGAAGCTCTGGCTTCAGTTATACCCATTCTCAGAGACACCTTACACCCAGAGCTGGTTTCTCTGGTAGCAGCAGTCACCGACAACCTGAACTCGAAGCACACAGGGATTTACACCGCGGCTGTGAAGGTACTGGAAGCATCCATTGCTCACCTAGGTAAGGCTGACCTGAGACACTGACTGCCCTTAAGTGTGAGCTGTATATTTTAGAGCCAAGTGAACAGCCATCTGTGGATAACCTGTTATTGCCTGGAGAAATATTCAGCAGCTGCAAGGTGTTTATGAAGTCCTGCCTGAATTCTTTCTAACCCAATCTGTTATATCTCATTGTGATGTGCAGTTGAATGGATACTGCTTATCATCTGGGTTACATGCCTGATTATTAATTCAGTAGAGAATGTTGTAGGCATTATCCTAAGCACCTGCCAAAAAAAACCATGAGGGAAGCAACTAGCATGTCATGACCATTTTCTCCCTTCTTCCTGGGAAACTGTGTGGGTTTTTTTGTACTGAATTAGATTTTTAAGACACGCGTTCTGGTAAGTTTACATCCACAGAATCAAGGTGAAAGTGATATGTTTTTTTCCTTGAAGTATGCCATGGGAAGGGTGTTGGAGGCTCTTAGCTCTGCTGGGCTTTGTTCCATGCTCAGGCAGCGGCAGCTCTCCCAAGCATCTGGCCCAAAGCCTTCATCTGGTTCTTGCTGACCTAAGGCTTTGAATTCACCCATTTTGCAATCTTTAGGCAGTAGCTTAGCTATGTGAAGCTCAAATGAAAATGTTACTTTGAATCTGAAGATTGAGACTTAGAATTTAATAAGATTATATGTTATGAGAGATCGCAGGGGAGATCAGATGAAGGATGAAAATTCTTGCTGGATAGTCAGCCTGGAGGGTAGAAATACATTGGCTTCCCTCTTCTGCTAGGGTAAGGAGTCCATTATCATCCCATTTTCTGGATGCTCAGACATGAGGCCACAAGTATGCCTGCAGATGTAAAATGCATTGCTGCAGCAGGGAGGAGGTAAGCTTCTGATCTGCTCTGTGTCCTGAACTCACAGCCTGCTGCAAGGTGTACAGTTCTGCTGCCCACCAGGATCACCTTGTTATTTTTTTGATCAGTGTTTTTGGAACTATTCCACTGCGATCTGCTCTAGAAACTGATTATATGTGCATGGGTAGTATGTTTTTCTTAATAAAACTATATGGAGACACAGCCCTGAGGTTAGCTCCCTGCTTCTCCTCACATGCCGTAGGTTTCAATTTGCTTTAATTTGCAGACAGTCACCTGAAAAGAAGAGAATCAGAAAAGCAGAAATAAAGAGATGGGAGTGAAGGACAGAGAATTTCCACTAACATTTTTTTTCCTCTCAGCTCAGCTTTTTGTTTGATATTAATAATTCACAACAGTGAGCACAAGGACGGAGAGCTGGCTGCTGCTCCATGTGAAGGAAGGGCTGGTAGGTTGGCTGCAGCCAGAGGACGCAGTTCAAAAACAGTTCTAAGTTTGCAGAAAATATTCTCTCTGACTCTTAGGTTATTCTTATGCGTTATATTTTAGGCAGATGGATCCCCTGGAGTATCCATCTGCAAGGATTCAGTGGAGAGGTGTTGACTTTAACTATTTTTCTGTTTTTCTTCTTGTACGCATTTCCACCAGGGAGAGACCCCAAGATAGATCCATGTAGTTTGCTGAAGGTGTTTACATATTCCTAGTGAAGTGTTTAAAATTTGTTTAGATGAATACAGCCTTCTGTTTCTCTCTTGATCTCCTGGTGTAGATTTAAAAGCACACTGATGATACCTACGCTACCACTGCCATTGCTGCAGCTGTGACATGAAGTTTCCAGTTCCTGGAGGCTCTTCATCTGGTGTTTTACTGCAGCTGTGACTTCTATTGAAATGTGAGATGAGAGCTGAAGTGTATTTCTGCATGCAAGGAGCTTGGTTTCGGAAAGATGGATGCCATCAATAAAAGTGTTCTCTAGAAGTTTATTACACTGATTAAAATCTACTACAGAAAAGCAGGTTCCAGATAAAGTGCTTGGCTTGTAGGGCTGATGCCAAGTTTTGGAGATCATTCATATCATTTATGCTATTTATCAAAGGCCCTGGATTCCTGCCAGTTCTAACTGGTGGGCTGGGTAACAAGGAGCTCTGGTTGTGCAGTCCTTATGCACCACTTCCCAGACAAGCTTGAACATTTACCAGTGTTTCCCCAGATTCTTGAGAGGCTTTCTTTCAGTGCTGCTTGTCCACTTTGGTACAGAACAACAAATATTGATGTACAACTTAGCTAGAATTCAGGGGCAAAGGGACTTTTGGAGGTTCTTTGGGCCCACTTTGACTTCCAGATGATTTGCTTTGCTATTGATGTGAAGGGATAGTGGTGCATTAGACCTCCTGCAGAACAGCTTCCTGGAAGACTCTACATTATGGGTATTAGTTGGTCCTGTCTACTTTCCACTTCTACTTTCTACTTCTTGGTTTTCTTTTTTTATTTTTTTTAGAGGGAATTCATGATTTGCCAAGCTCATTTCTTTAGAACAAACAGGTATAAATCTAGCTGTAAATGATGGCTTGTTCCAAATGTTGTTCTGCATGGGGCAAGATCGCTCTAGCCAATAACTACATAGCCAAGGTCTGCTGTAAATTCCCTTGCCACACAGATTTATGTCAGCTCTGAAAATGCAGCACTGGGTGAACATGCCTGAAAAATTTAGTGTTGAAGAGGCAGACCTTAAAAGGAAATTAACAACTTTCTCCGCATCAGCCTCTTTGTGGATCCAGTATATTTGCTGACCTGTTGCCTTTCTGTGTTCCAAGTATGGGGTTGTGGGGAGAAGGGTGTGAGACCTGTCCTGCTGTTGGTCCTGACCCATTTTTTTGTGGTGCTTGGGAGAAGGTTGGGGAAGAGATGCCAAATCCTCCTAACAGAGGATGTGATAACCAGATCCCTTCAAGGTTTTGAATGGAGCTTTCAGTCATCTTTCCCCCTCACCAATTTTGAGAGATCATCATGAATTTTCAGTGCTGGCAGGTGTCAAAACAGGAGCAAGGCACGTCTGTTGCTTATCAGACAAACTTTGCATAGACTTTCAAGCCAGTAAGGCAGGGTATATTTTTTGTGGGTTTGTTCATTTTTAAGGGCATAAGAACAAATTCAAAAAGCAACTGCATCAGAAATATTTTGGTGTTTCAAGGCTTTGTGCTTTAGTAGAGGAAGGAAGGTTCTACTGATGAAATGACTGAGCTAAATCTTTCCTCATGCTTTGAAATTTTCTGCCTTTGCAATTTACAATCAAATGGCAAATGACCAAAAAACCCAACAACAGAACTCTCTGAAGGATTGTGTGATGTTTCTAACTTAGAGTGAGTGAATAAGTGCAATGTCTTGCCCCATTGCTCCATTGAATTTCCTAGCTGAGAAGTCAGCTATTGCTCTGAGTCTCTGTGTTGATGTGCTGCAGATTCTGAGTTTGAGGTGAGATTTCCTCATCTGTCAGTTTTAATGGCCAATGCAGACATGCGAGCTGGTTGTAAGATGACTTGATTGCTCAAATGTAAAAACAACAACAACAAAAACCCACACAAAGCCACTTTGTAGATGGGGCAAATGAAGCCTTGGCACCAAGACATAGATCTTGTTCTCCTACATCTGTCCTAATCCGTCCCCTGTCATGAAAGAAATGTGCTGCTGCCTGACACCAGGGTGTGGGGTCAGAAGGGCAGCCCCAATAGTGCTCAGTCATCAGCTCTTCCGAACAGGGGAGGGGAAATTTTCCCCTATAAGTGGCAGCACAGCAAAGAGCTGAACACTGAAAATATGAGTGTGGAGAAACAGATTCTTTTGCTCCTATTGCGAGTGCTGGACCTGTCCTGTGTCCAGCAGTTTAGCTGACACCTTATGCAGAGAGTTAAAGCTAAGTCAGTAAGAATTGAACTGACTGCTGCCTTGTTGTTTCTAACAGCAATTAAACACCACTCAGTCTTTTGGTCTCTTGAGACAAAGTTTGGGTAAATTTGTTATTGACTGGTGCTTTTAGTGTTTTGAAAGGCATAGGGCTTTTGAAGCACTTCCATTGGAAGGTGAATTGTGATTATAAACAATTCTCCCTCACTCATCCAAACCCCAACTGTTCCCATGAAACCTGCATAGGTACCAATAGTACAAATTAATTAACTTTTTGTACTGGTTTAGATCTCTAAAAGTCAGTTTGGGTTTTTATCTACTTTTTTTTCCAAAGCAGCAGCTGTAGGGTTATTCTCAGGAGAGGAACAGCACCTGCCAATATTGCAGGAATGTGAGTGAAAAAGCAAAGTGTCTGTTAAGAAAGGTGAATAAGAAGACTGTAATTACCAAAGCAGAAAATTAATTGAAATAACAGGATCAATTCTTTACTGTATGCTTGCCAAAAGATCAGCGGGGACTCTCTCTTTATACCTCATGTTAAAAGGAGCTCTCAATAGCACAGTGCTATTTAAAACTGCCCCGTGAGCACTCCTTGTCCAAGAGAAGCTTTACTCAGCTTATCAAAGTGGTAAAACTGCAAAACTGGAAAACTGCAGACCAATCTGCACAACACTATAACTAAAACAAGACCCCACGTCAACAACGGGTAGCATAGGAAAAAAGTACATGTATATGATGATCAAGTACTGGGAAATCAGATTTTGGCCTCTGTGCCTCCCATCTCCCGGGAGGAGATGGAGATGATGATGATGAGTAGGTAATTTTCTCTGATAAAAGTAACTTCGATCCTGGTCTGTAGGTCCCAACAGGTGAACTACAGAGTCAACACTGGTTTATCCATTAGGGATGAATGGATGTATGGTTTTCTGAGCCTTCCCGCCCTTTTTCTTCACGGTGGGGGAAGTTCACCTCTGCAAAGTTCTGTCACGCAAAACCCGTGCATTGCTTATGTGTGGTTTAAATTTTGAGGGCCCTGATGAAGAACGTGTAACGCTGCTCCTTGTGCAGCACTTCACTTTGTATGCGCAGATGTGACACGAAAGCCTTTGTTTTTGAATTTTCAGTCCTCCCAAGTGAACTTTAAAGAAAGAGCAAACGCAGAAACTGGCAGAAATGTATTTTATTTATAAAATGCCATTACCTCTGCCTTCCTTCCCCCTTCCCCCCACTTCTTATAACCTGTTCTAGTGAGCAGAAATGAACGTTTCTCTTTCAGACAATGCATTACTGCTGCAAGCATTGGCCCACCGAGTGCGTTTCCTCAGCGGCCGAGCCATGCAGGACATCACGGAGCAGCTCTCAGGTACTGCCTGCTTCAGCCAACCTCTGCTTTTAAGTCATGCATTCTTTTGTGAAATGGCAAATGTTGAGTGGGAATTCCTTTGAATATTCAGTTCAGTAGCTCATCAAACACCTTAAGGCCCTGGCTTGTCTGCCCTGCAAAATACACATAGAAGTCATGTCTGGCAGGGTTTCCTTGTGTGCTGTCATGGTGTGCAGTGTGAGATTGGGTGCTGAGCTCTCACTGAGGCATCTCAGGATGTGCCTCTGGGAATGAGAGGGGCTAAAAATACCCTGTCCTCCTGCTCTCATCTCAGGACAGTGCAGGAAAGGTCAGGGAAGACTCTGAGAGCTCCCTTTTCTGAAGCAAATGACAATTCTATAGAAAAATGTGTGGCAACTGATATTTCTGAGGATTGGTTTGATTTGTCAGCACGGGACTGTTGTCTTGCTGTTGGAAATGCTGGAGGCTGCATCCTGCACAGCCCAGGCATTGTAGTTGACATCTAACAGGCAAGGTGAATGTGCACGGCAGGGTTTGGCACAGAAATGGGCAGCAAAGCTCAACCCACGGAGGCTCCCTGCCTGTGCTGCAGACCTGATGTGGTGCTTCAACCATTTCAGGTGTGCAAACAGCCTATTTCTGTACCAGTGGTGTCCTACATGCTAAAAATGCAGCTGATAATTGGTTTATAATAGTAGCTTACTGTGAGTGGCAACAGCCGAGGAGTGAAAGAAACGACAACCTCAGTAAATGCTAGAGGAGCCTATTTATAACCTTGCTTTAATTAGGGCTAAATCCACTGCTAATTATGCCAGCATCTTTTAATCCAAGGTTTAATACGCTTTGCTTCTTCATTATGAATCTCAAAAGGACATGTTTAGCCACAGTGAATGTAAAAGTGCCTTTAAAGATCATCTGAATAAAGTAAATCGCCATAAACATATAATTTAATTTTACAGTTGTTTTAATCTCTTTTTGAAAGAAAACATTTAAACAAAAATTGGGACTATTCGAGAGAGGGCAGAATGTTCTCTCTGGGATTTAGAGGGAACAGGCAACTCTTTCTCCTATGAAAGTCCATAGTGACTGCTGTGCTTAATAAGCACTTAAGCTCAAATCAACTTCCATTTAAAAATAGGTATAATAACCTTGTTCTGCTTTCCAGAACTGTTCTTACGTACTTGCAGCAGCTGTTTAAATGTTGATGACTAAAGCTGGGTTACCAGCATACAAAAAATGAATGTCCTTCCCCTACAGAGTAATGAATGGTTACTGCATAACATTTCCACTGAGCAGAAAATAAGAGCTCTGTCTCCTGACCACTTCAGATTTTGATCTCTCAGCAAAATCTGCTATGCAAAGAGTCTGTCTGTAGTAAATTTTTGTTTGTATTTAATACAGTTCAGTTTGGGTAATAGCCTGAGAACAGATTTCAGAGCAGCAGTGCTTCTTTTTTGATGAAAGATAAGTAAAAGTTTCTATCTTCATTTCCCTCTTTCAGGGAGCACTGCCTGGATAAATGCTATCAGAGTTTTCAGATGCTGAAATGCTGTGGCAGTGGGGTCTGGGTTATTACCTTGGGTGTTCTGAAGTTGGAAACAGTTGCTCATTAGAGGCCACCAAGTACAAGGGAAAAAGCTCAACTCAGACCTTTCTGCCAAAGATATCAGTTAATCACTGATGTTTCTACCATAACTGTCAAGCTTTATGCATCTTTTGTGGGCTGGAGTTCTGAAACATGGAATAGTACTGCCATTTGCTGTGTGCCACAGAGTAAAGGGCACTGCCAGATTAGACTTGTGGCATTTTTCATCAAAAGTCACAAAAGAAAAATTGTTTTCTTTATTAGAAACTTTCCATTACTTTTCCAAGCTGCATTTCAAAATCTACTTCAGCTAGTTTAGATAACTTCTTCATGGAAATAAAAAGATTTGTCACTTTTGTCATTGGTAATATAGAAGTAGTGAAATAAATTATAAAAGGTGTATGATGCACTTCCCAAGTAAGTCTATCTTGGACACAAAGCCTCTGATTCGGAGAAATTAAGGTCCTCAGTGGTCATAGGATCATAGAATCACCAAGACTGGGAGAAGCCTCCAAGATTATCTGATCCAACCATCCACCTACTACCAATGTTTCCCCACTAAACCACATCTATTAGTTAATCCATGTATTTCAATATACCATCAGCCTGTTTGGGGATCACTGGGTTCACTTGTCGGCATTGACTGGAAAACCCTTCAAAGAACCAAAACTACGGGCAAGTACTTGCATGCACTGAGGTTGTTAAGAAACTTGTCTCTCTTGCCTGGCAGTGCTTGTGGCATCTGTTTATCCCCGGAAAGCCCACGTGGTCGAGCGCTACGTCCTGCCCGTGCTCTGGTTCTTCCTGAGCAACATGATTGGAAATGGTGTCCTGCCCGGGCGAAGCAGCAATGTCAGGGCTGCAGTCACCAAGCTTGCCAAGAGCCTCCACCAAGAGATGGGCTCCAGCCTCAAGGAGCATGCTGCCAGCCAGCCTCCGCATGTGGCAAAACACCTCTGGCACGTTTTGGATGGTCAGTGAAGAAGGCTTGGTGTCCTCCATGCAGCTGGCGGAGACCCTGGCATTGGTTTTACTCTGGTTTTGAAGCACCAGATTTATCCTACAGAGTTTATAGCTACAGACATGCACAATCTATTTTGATGTAGGCTATTTTTTAAAAAAAGGAAGTATTTTTCAAAGCTTTTATTTCTTGAGCTCCTCTTTCCTGCAGAACTTACGTAGACATGAAAAAGAAATAAAAACCCATGTGTAAATGCAACTTGTAACTGTAAAAAGGAAAATTAATATATTTATATACATACTTGGAAGGTGAGAGATACGCATATATATTTACTTACAATGTAAGAGATGGGTTTTGTAAACATATGAGCTGCAGGATTAGATAGCTTGCTGTCAGTGCAGTAGCAGACACACAGGTCAAGCTCTCTGGTACCAGAACAGGAGAAATCCCCTTGGCTTTGCTGAAATTCCCCTCCTATTTCAAAGAGTGTATCTTGTCTATAGTCCCCTTTCCTTCCTCATGAAACAGGCTGATGCACAGAGATCTTGGGGCAGCAGTGGGCTGAGGGTATAACACACAGTCTGGAGTGTGGTAAGCTGTGGTTGGCACAAAGCCTAATCTTTGTTTAACATATACATTTACTTAATGTCTAAAAAGATAGATAAAAAAGAAGAAATTCAGTGTTTGCCTTATCCATGGATGAATAAGCACTTCTTGATCTGAGATTCAGGAGAGAAGGTAAGTGCCAGTTCTTTGCCACACAAAGGTTTGGAAGTACACAGGGGAGAAATCATGAAAGAAAAGAGGACAAGCTGAAAGCAGCAGATGCTGATGCTTACTCAGATAAGAAAATAGAAGAGCTTGATCTATGCTCATATGCTGGCAGAATTGTGAAAGAAACTAAAATGGAAGTTTTGGAGAGAAGAAAAAACTGAAAACTAATGGTATGAGACACAGTGGGACTATAGTAAAAGGACCTTGTATGAGGTTGAGAGTCAAAGAATAAGCAGGGAGATCTCTCCAGCCCAAGAGTCCTGGGGTTTTTTATTTTCTGCACCTGATTTGTATGTCTAAAGCCAAGTAACTTCAACTTACTAGATAATATTGTCACATTCAGTCACCTATTCAGGAAACACTTTTTCAGTACATAACTGAAGCAGTGGAATTATGTCTCTTTTTGCAAAGATATGGCATGGGATCTAGGCCAGGAACTTGGCTCTGAGACACTGGTGTGCCAGGAGATCCTGCAGAGCCTGCTAGAAGCCATGGGTCCGTAGAGATGGTGCAGTGCTTTACAGTTTAGCATCCTGACTAACAGTTTATCAAAACCAGGTGTGATGGTGTTCTGCAGAGTACCACCATGCACCAAAACATTAAGTGGGGAATGAAGAATACTAGAGGGTGGCTGAGTTTAAACAGTTGATCTTGAACAGTGTCACTTCATTAAACTGCTGAAGTTGGCTGCTGAATGAGTTCTACTTTTAGGCAATCATTTTTGTAGCAGGTGGCATCCCTAGAGGACTTGGTCTTGCTTCTTCCACCTCCAGAGTTGCTCTTGCTGTTTCCCTCTGTGGATCATCCCTCTGGAGCCCTGTACATGCTGCTGTGCACAAGCTGCTTTCGCTGGGCTAAGTAGAAACTCTTTGTTTTTACTTTATCTGTGCTTGCATCCTTGGGGATGCAGGGAGGAATATCTGCACTAGGGAGAAAAAGTTTTTTTGTGCACCTCAGAATAAACCTCCTAGAGCTTATTTTTTATGTGTTTAGTTGTAGGACTTGCAAAGTATGTTTAAGAAGTAACTTGTATAACTGGTTTATTAACTCCTTGCTGGCCTTGAGCATAACTTTCATGTATGCCCCATAGTAAATGAGAATAAAGCATTGCCTGCTGGTACCTATTTTCTGTCCAGGTGGTTGTTTGCTCTTTTGTTGTGTTTTTGAAACAGAAAACCTCTCCAGCCAAGGCAGTTTCCCTATGACAGAGGCACTGTCTTACCACAGAGAAATCAAATTTAGCCATTAAAGTGTCTGTTTGCAGCAAGTAGAGAGAAATAGGGGTTAAATAGTATGTGTTAATGCAGTTCAGGTGAGCTCTCCTGCCAGCTGCTTGCACTTAAGAAGTTGCTGTGCAGCCATTAGAGTATTTGGAAGCAAGGAAAAGGGCAGGGTTGAACTTTCCTCTAGAACTATGTAAAAGATTTTAATGTTTATTTTTTTTTTCTAACTTATTTTTATTATAATATTATTCTAGAAATCTTATCAGAAAGGAGACTGCAAGCTGTGCTTACAAGGGCCAGTTTAACTCAGCTGATTGTTGCGCAGTACAGCTTGCTAGACCACGGAAGATAGCATAGCAAAAAATGTGTGTGGCAATCTGGTTTGTTGGCTTCCTCTACCCTACAGCCTGTCAGAGCCCCGGGAGAGAACCCTGCTGACACACGCACTCTTCTCCTGCAGAAGGTAAGAGCACTGTTATCAATGGAAGGTGGGGGAGAAAGGGTAATATGGCAGGAATACCACTAAGGACTGCAGAAAGCCCATGTTTCCCTAAACACTGGGTAGTGACCTTATGTCATCTCCCAGTGTAAGGGGCACAGGAGCTTTGGAGGATGAAGTTGTGTGGATGGAGAGACCAATGCTATGTGCTCTGAGTCCACTCTGCAAAACTTGCTTCTCACCAAGAGTCAAAGCCTGTGTGTGGTGACATGGTTTGTCTGGGGCTCGGAGCACTTGTGTTACAGTGATGTATTATACCCCAACTCTCCAGGTTCCCTGCAGCCATGCAACCAGAAAACCCAGTGCGAATGCAAATGTACAATCTTGCTGGTGCCAAGAATATTCTGGAGATAGGGTTGATATGGAAAAATGAATGGCAAACAGAAAGGGTGGTAGGAAGACCAGGAAGGAAGTTCCTGAATTGTCATGCTGAGACTGAAGGTTAATGTAGTAAATAATGCTGATGCTGCCTTTGTAGCATTGCTAAGAGCTGGGGCAGAGAATGAAAGAATTCACCAGAAGGGAGTGCTCGTGCTGAGGTGTTGTGTCATAGAGCATAGCTACGGTAATTGTGGCAGAATTTGCTCTTGCCAAGGTTAAGGATGGACTTGGGAGCCAGTTGCTGGGCCCTTCTGTCAAGGGGAGGGAGAGGGGCTGCACTGAGGTGGCTATTTTCATCCTTGTTAAGTAGTGATGGTGGGAATAAAAGTGCTGGCATTGCTAACAAATCCCTGCCAGCTGACACTGAATCCTGATCCTGGGATAAAACCTTTGATGCAAGCAGAGGTGAGAAAACCACTCCAGCTAAAATTAGGGCTGGCCTGAACCTTTAAGCCTCTTCTCTGCCTTGGTATCAGTGGCTGACAAGAACAGTGCCTGTGCTGGGTCAACAGACTGCCTCCATGTATCCTTAAACCCCCCCAAAGAGTATCCAAATGAAATCAGCAGTGTTAAAAGAGCTTTTAAAATCTCTCTGTGTTTATGGCTGTGTCTCAGATAAATGAAGGCTGTACTTCTCTTCACGGCTGTTTAGCACGTTTCACCTCTGCTGCTTTTACAAGCAGAAAGCAAAAACTGCTCTGGAGGATGCAGTGAAGGCTGTCATTGCCTGCTGTGTTGCAGGACATATGTGCTCAGTGTTGAGATATGCCCAGGCTCTTTGGCGCAGCCTGAAATTTCATATCCCATGTGATTTGAGGGTTCACCTGCAGGAAGATGCACCCTCTCTATTTGTGTCTATACGTGTTCCTCTGAACACCTGTCCTGCTCTGTGTATGCTGTCAGTGTAAGAATATAGGCTGTAAAAATGCTTAGTACTGATGCACTTCTATCAGTACAAGTCCTTGTGCTGAAATGTACTACTGTTCAAGAAGAACAGTAAAACAGGAAAACTGGCTCTACTGATAAGACGACTTTCATATAGGTACAATTGTGCAAATATTTGGATCTCTATTACTTTGGCTGTTTATTCTGGCAGCTTTTTAATTTCAGCATTGTTCAGTGCAATACTAAATCATCCCACTTGCTTCAGTAGGTAATCTTGCAGGCTGGACCTCTAGCAGGCTGCTCTTGCAGCAGTGGGACCTCACAGTGTGATTTGGCAGGTGCTGCTCTTTCATCCTCCATTGATCCTGCAATTAAGTGTTCCGGTGAAAGTAATGGTGACAGGTGTGCCTGCACTCTGGTCCTGGCCAGAGTGGTCATTTCACACCTGTAGGAAGATTTTTATTTCAGACTAACAGATCTTCTGTAATGCAATTCCAATCAGGAACACATTTTACCTGCTTTAATGTTTCTTTGCTGGCACACTCCATTTCTTTTTTGCCAAGATTTCTATGTTCCTCCTGTTACTGCTGTTTAATATTTAGCATTGGCATGGCATCACTTTTTAATGTGGTTTGGACACAGTGTACCTGAAAAGTCCTGTATTGTATGCACTTTCATAAGTAGACGTAGTCTGTGCTCACAATAAATGTGAACAAAATCAACATGGCCCAAATCCCAGAACTTTGCACGTTTGAATTATTTCTGGCTCATAGATGTCTTTTATCTTGTTTTATATATATGAAAATGAAATGTCTTTTACAGGGAAAAGATAAACAGCTTTTTAAAAGGTATGTTTACCTGGAACAGCAGTCAAATAGTGGTGTTTGTGATTTGGTTGTGGAAGGATGAGAGGAAGGATGACTGTGAGACCAATGATAGGTGTGAAAGGTTTTGCAAATACATTTATCATAGAATGTTTTAGTTGGACCTTTTAGTAGGACCTTAAAGATTATCCAGCCCCAACATCTGCTGTAGGCAGGGCTGCCCCCTACCAGTTCAGGCTGCTCAGAGCCCATCCAACCTGCCTTGGGCATCTCCAGGGATGGCACACCCACAGCTCTGAGCAGCAGTGCAGGGCCTCACCAACCTCTGAATAAAAAATTTCTTCCTTGTATCTCATCTAAACCTACTTTCTTTCCATTTAAAACGATTACCCCTTGTCTTATTGCTATATGCCCTGCGAAATGTTTATCTTCATTTTTCTTATAATCACAGAATCACAGAATGGCCCATGTTGGAAGGGACCTCGAGGATCATGAATCTCCAAATCACTACCTTCACTGGTAGGGCCACCAACCTCCACATTCAATACTAGACCAGGCTGCCCAGGGCCCCATCCAACCTGGCCTTGAACACCTCCAGAGAAGGACAGTGCATCTACAATGTCTCTGGGCAGCCTGTTCCAGCACCTCACCACTCATAGTAAAGAACTTCCCCCTGACATCCAACTTAAATCTTCCCTCCCTCAACTTAAAACCATTTTCCCTTGTACTTCTGTTACCTACCCTTTCAAAGAATTGATTCTCCTCCTTTTTACAGGCTCCCTTTAGATACTGAAAGACACCTTTAAGTATTGAAAGGTTATAATTAGGTTTCCCTGGAGCTTTCTCTTCTCCAGACTGAACAAGCCCAGCTCCCTCAGCCTTTCTTCATAGGAGAGGTGCTCCAGCCCTCTGAACATCTTTGCGGTCCTCCTCTGGTCCTGCTCTAACAGCTCAGTATCCTTCTTGTGCTGGGGACCCCAGATCTGGACACAGTACTCCAGATGGGCCCTTGTGAGGACAGAGCAGAGGGGAACAACCATCTCCCTTTCCCTGCTGGCCATCCCTCTTTTGATGCATCTCAGGATGCAGTTGGCTTTCTGGGCTGCAAGCATGCACTATCCAGCCAATTCTTTACGCACTGAAGAGCATCGCTCAAATCCACAGCTCTCCAACTGGAGCCAAGGATATTGTGTAGGATCGCATCAAAGGCCTTGCAGAAGCCACTCCATCATAATTTGCCCTTGCCTTCCATATGCCTTAGCATGGTTTCTAGGAGGATCTGTTCCATGATTTTTCCAGGCACTGAGGTGAGACTCACCAATTTGTTGTTCCCTGGGTCCTTGTTTCTACTGTTTCTTAAAAACAAAACAAAAAAACCAAAACCAAACAAAAAACCCAAAAAACCTGTGATGTTTCTCTTCTTCCAGTTACTGGGGACTTCACCTGACTGCCATGGCTTATGTTTATACCCACGCCTGAACAAGTGCTCAGTAGAGCTCTGTGATAATTTATTGCCATGGGCCAACTCTTCACCTTGTAACAAACTGCTGTGCAGCTGGAGCATGCAGTCCTGGGTTCAGCCCAAGCTCTTGGTAGACGGTGTGATCAGCTATGGCGCTGCCTTTAAAAATATATATATTTGTTTCATAATCACTTGAATCTTTCAAATTTACACTTTTATTTGTAGTTGCCATTATTGCTCTGCCTGGGGGAAAAACCCTTCACAGCCGAGTGCAAACCATAACATTTTGACAGCATATTCTGCATGGTTGCCAACTTCTGTTATTGCAGAGGAAAGCACATGTGTGATGTGTTAATTAGGCTTTCTGAAGGACAAAATCTCTTTCATGTGTCTGTGTTTGTTCAACTATGGACCTAATCCTGCCCTTTGCATAAAGCTCAGGAGAGGTAGACAAAATCACAGGGAAGAATCAAATCCCTGCTTCAGCCTGTGACCAGATAGGGTTGCCATTACCAGCACGGTGAATGTATCCTTTCAAGGTTTTCCCTATGAACCCCAATTGATAGGGATGCAATTATGGAAATTACCTGCCCAATATTCCAGTATTCTCTCCAAACTTCATAATACATAATAGTAAAGGTAGTGAAACTCAGTGTCTACGTGGTAACCATACAGTTTGTAGGATGGTATTTTATTTTTAAAGTCATTTCTGTTTTATGCCAGAAGCATTTTGTAGTCTTCAAACATGCATACAAACAGGTGTGGCTGAAGCAGGGTCCTCTTTCTGACACTTCTGAAGACCGATAATGTGCTTGATTTGCAAACTAAATTCAGTTGTAGCTTCGGTCTTGGATCTGTTCTATGCAAATTCTGGAGGAAAGGAAAATTTGCGTCAAGATGATTGGATCCATTGGGTGCCTCACTAGCTTTCAGTGCTGCTCATCTTTTCACAGAACTAATTTGTTGTGCACAAATTGGTGAATGGAGAGGGTCAGTTTCAGCACTGTTGCTCTGTAGTTTAGTTCTGAATATATCAGTCTCCTGGGAAGTTACCAGGAAGGTTAGAGAGGCTCACACAGGTCCTGGTCTCATTTTGGCTGAAAGCAATCTAAATTAAACCTATCAAATTACTCCTAAAGTTATTAGCTCGCTGTTTATTTAGAGAAATGCCTTTCTATTTTTGCTGGTCTGTAAACAGCATTTGAAGAGGTCACGGCAACCTTTGCTGTATGTTGGGAGTAGAGAGATGCAGAGCCATTGGTCTGCTGAGGGAAACTGGGAATGCACTGAGCATCTAAATGCCTCCTGCATTCCTAGTGCTGTGGTGTTTGCAGAGGGTAGTGTATTATTTTTTTTCCTCTTTGTAAAAGCTAATCTAGTGATTTGGCTGTCAAGGGAATAAGAGAATGCTGTAGAAATTAGAAAATCTCCAAGTTGTCAGGGCTAGCAGAGCTTAGAGTTTGCAGCATGTGGTTTCTTTCTTTGCTGTTGCTAGGACAAGTAGTTCTGAAGAGCGGAGGTTTCTCAGCTTGAAGAATATGCTATTATATTTTTTAATTGTCCGTAGTATTTTCTAGATGACTTTATTTTGCACCTTAGGACTCTATCAGTTGCTGTTAATTGATTCATGGATTGCTGTGACATGAAATTTGTCTAAGGCTCAGGAATGGGAAACTGCCCACCAGAACTCCTGTGTCTTATTGGCTGCTTAGCTGCAGATCCCTGTGGGACAGGAGGGCATCCTTGGTGCTCCCTGGGTTATCCACAGGAGAAAAATGCAATATGGAGAACATGCTGGAGCTGTTATGATGATAAATGCACGCATGTACATGCATGTGTTCACTCTGAAATACGAAGATAAAGGGACCTATGTGGATATTGAGCTATTGATTTTAAAATGTCAGTATCCAGAATAATCCAGAAACACGTGTTGCCTTGTGCCTTGATTGCCCATGTGTTAACTATATTTGCATTCAAAAAGAGACAAAGCTTCACAGTGGAGGGGGAAGAGTTTTTAAAAACAAGTCATTATATTGCTCTGGCAGGCTTAATTTCCACTTAGGAAGTAAGAGGTATTAAACTTAAGCCCAGTTTAAGAAGGCTTAGAAGGAAGTAAGGTTGCAGGACGGAAATTGCACTATTACATTGGCTCAAACTTGCTTTTAAAAACTAAGCAGCTAGTGAATTTCTTGGTTTAGATTTTATCTCTAGAGTGATCGTGGCCAGGATGCTTATCTTTGTGGTGGAAAGTCCGGAAAGTCATAGCTTTACAGTGATGCTGTAGGGAAGGACAGGTCTCTGTTAGCATCCTTAAGCTTCAGCTTTGATTCTTTCATATACTAAGGACCCCATGGCTCAATCTGAAGCATCAAAAGCTTTTGGTTTATTTTTAATTGCTATATAATCAGTTCATCTATGCCTTAAGGAAAACTTTATTGAAGCAGGAGGGATTTGTATGGAGCAAGATAGGCTTATTGCCTCTTTCTCCTTTAAAATAACATTGTTGAAGGGTGTACTCTAGATTGTCAATCTCCAGAAATCCTCATAGGGTTACTTAATACGCTCGGAATTTTGTACTGATAAAGAAAAAGGAAAGAATATGATGAGTTTTTTGAAATTTGAAAAATCAGTGAAGTGGACAGCAGTTGGAGCTATGAAGGCTGCAGATGATCTGGTGCAAGCAGTGGTGGTACAGGATAGCTGCAGGGCAGGCATACATGAGATGAATGGAGAGGGATCAGAGAGATAACATGATCCTGGGTCTTGACTGACCTTCCTCTGAGCACTTACTGACAATATCTGAACATCCTTTTTTTGACTAACATTTTTATTATTCATTCAAAGTGGGCAGTGGGAAGGACTGCGTACTTGTTACCTTTGCACTAGGTTTTTAGATAACCCAATGTACTGTTGTGAAGATAAACCAAGTATCTTCTTGCACAACAAGAGCAAAATCTCAGTTTGAAGTTCATACCTGCAGTGTGCATGCTGCAATCATGGTGACACTGGATTTATCTGATGTGGGAGGTTTCATGACTTGTTAATCTAGAGGAGCCTCTCTTCAGTAGGTGTTGGCAGTTCTGCAGTGATGAACTGTGACAGTAAGAACAGGTTACTTTATCTCTGTGAGTGATTTCTGCTATTCCCAAAACAAAAAGCATAAATTCTCAGAATATTCATCTTAATAATAAGACTTCACAAGTTATTATGAAATGCTTTGGATATTAAGTATGTCAGTGAAAATTCTGCAAGATTCTGTTTTTTATTGATAACCTGCACAGTATTCTGAATTGTATTGCTAATATCTGGGATATCTCTTGAAGTCAAATAAAGTAACTGGAGGTGGATAGGACTTTTGGGGCATCCACAGATGCTGAGAGTATGAAATGATGAGTCCATTAAAGGCTTCAGCTTTGAGAAGCTTCCCTGGAAGCAAAGGCAGCTGTCAGCTTGTTAAAGGTCTGCAGATGAAACATAGCTTGGAGCTGTTAGCGGTTGGTTTTGCAGCTATGAAGTCCTGGCTGGGAAACTGATACTGCTTTACTATGTGCTCAGCCCTTCTGCATGAGGCTGCAGTGCAACAGGTGTGCTTTGGCTTTAACCCTTAACTTGGATTAGCTGTGATTTTATGTAGAAGCTCTGAACGGAGAGCTCCGAATTGCCAGGTAGTTCAAGCTTAAATTAGAAGAGGTAAAGGTGGAAGCACAGCTGACCTCTGTTCTGGTCTGTTGGTGTCCAGGCTGGATTTTGTAGCCTAAAAATACATATTTGCAGAATGAAAATGTAATCTGTTTTATCTGACGTACCAGTGAAACACAAAACAAGACAAACTTGTATTTGGGTGGGGAGGAATGAAGCAAAAGGACTTTTTATGGCAGAGGGCACTCATTAGTGCACCAAGTAAGGAATCAGTAGCATAACATTGAGATCTGTGCTAACTTCAGACAGAATGTAAGGCAGATCAAACTCATAACCTGTGTATAAAACTGATTTATTTATATCAGTAAAAAATATATCTTGAAATTGAGCATGGCCTTAATAACAGCTGTATTTCAGAAATGTTGAATTTAGGAAAAATGGAAATGATATTAAAAAAATTCTGTAATGCAACAACAAACAATAACAGTTCTTTAAAAAGTGATCAGTCATGCTATTGTTTTCTGTGTACCGATTACTCTCAACTTCATGCTTGCAATACAAGCTGAAGTTTAACACCTTATTGCAAGGGTCCTGCACTGAAGAGAGCCTCTTAGTTATACATAGTCATGAACTCATGATACAGACTTGTAGATTGCCACTGGAGAAGGTCTGTTTCTTGAATATAAAGCTCAGTTTGCTGCAACATCCTTAGGGCAATGTTAGAATCCTTCAACAGCTGCAATGTTTAGGTGGGATTATGGTTACAATGACCATACTGATGACATGATCTTAGCCAAAACTGGAACAGATGCTGTACTGGGATGATGGTTTATGTGACATGAATTCAGCCAAGCCTTATTTTAATCAGGGAAGGGTAGCTTGGCTGAATTCATGTCCAGCCAGCATGTGTGAGCAGGTTTTCAGCTTGACTGCTGTAGCGTTTCTCTATGTGCTGCTATAGCTCTTACCCCACAGAAGAATTTGCTGCTCAGGGGGCATAAATATACGCTTTCAGTTATCATCCATTGTGAATGCTGAGAAATTTCAGCATTAAACCATGAAGGGATGAAATGATTGCAGCAACTGAGCAGAAGTTGCGCCCCCACTCTTGCATTTTCATCTTCAAAGCTACATTTAGGCATGTAAAGTGCCAGATTTCTGCTGTCACGTTTCTGGTTTATTTCTGTTCTGACAGCTAATGACAGCAGAATAGACCAATCCAAAATGCATACAAAATGGGTAATTTTAATGCAGTGTGAGCAGACAAAACTTCTGATGAGGGGGAAAACTGACCTGTAGAGTTTGCTCTGCTGAGGAGCCTTGCAGTATCTCCTTGTTGATTTCCCTATTTAATAGGGAATGATGTATCTCTCTGAGTGATTACAATGTGGGTCTGTTGACATCTCCTACATGTACACCTTGGGTATGGCTACTTTTATCACCTCAAGCTCACAAACCCCTGATGATCCAAAGCACTGATATGCTATGAGTTATTTCTTTATAATACTTCATCTTAAATACTACGATTAAGGTTTTCTTTTGTGTGGTATGAAATGGCACTAAGTTTATTGAAGATGGATGGTTGTGATGAAGGCACTACATAAAACTCAGAGGCGTTCAGTAGCCAAAAGGGTCTTTTGTACAGCTTAAGGCAAGCCTTAGTTCCCCTAGCATGAAGGTGGACAGAAAGGGTTAAAAATTCTGTACGTAGATGAAGTGTTCATCATGAAAACTTAGGAAAAATTAAAGCTATTCCCACCAAAGCAGGACTAGAAATGGGTCTTTTTTCTGGATCATTTTCTGTCCCTGAAGTAGCATATAAAATCAAGTCAAATTAGTTAAATTAAAAAGTTGCATCTTAATTCTGATGACAAACTAGTTTTTTGAGCAAAATCCAGTAAATTATGGAAGTATTGTAGTGGGTGCTGTACCAGCCTATGATTAACCAGTTGTCAGTACCTTGTGTTTTCATTAGCAAGAACCTGTCTAGAAGTCACAGCAAATCCATTCAAACTGTGTAAACTGGAATATAAACCTCTTTCTAGGGAACAGGATTCTCTCTTTTCTTCTTTTTTCTTTTCTTTTTTTTAACGTGTCCTTAAGTGCCTCTGGATGTTTGATTAGGCTGTTACAAAACTACTCTAATCAGGATTAAGCCTTGTATCCTGAGAACTAGAGATGATGAGATTACAAGGTAATCAGAGATGCTTTAGAAGATCAAAGTCTTTTTGAGGAAATAACATTCCTAATATCCCTTGGGGAAAAAAGGGTTATTTTTTGCTTTAACTTGTATTTGGCCCTTTTCTCTCTATAGAAGTGTTCATGAATAACCTAGTGTGAAGTTGTGACTTTGCTGAAGCCATTTAATTTTTGCAATAGCATTCAGTTGGTTCATGACTGTTCGGGCCCTGTTGCCCTCACAGAGCAGAGCTCAGCGCTGCCCTCTGCTCCCTCTCAGGAGCTGCAGCTGCCATGAAGCCTCCCCTCAGCTCCTCTGCTCTGCACTGAGCAAACCCAGGGGCATGAAAATACTGAATCGGTTTGCCTCAGACTTGCAGAACTGGCAAGTATTTCTGTTGTTGAAAGCAAACCTTTGAATTGCAATCAGAACGAGAAGCAGCTGGTTACCACTCTGGTATTTCCTCTGGAGGTCGAGAGGTTTGGGTTTTTTAGACGTAGTGCCATCATATTGTTTCCTTGTGATTAAAAATGACGGAGCAGTGTTTTGGAGGCTTGGGTAAGGCTGTTCCCTCCTGCAGACCTCAGGCCTTGCTCATCCCTCTGCCTTCCTGGGCGCTTCTGCGGTCAGTCCCTCTGCAGCCCCTGGCCCACGATGTAGAGCTCTGGGTGGGAGGCGGATCTGTGGGACTCTTTGATTTCAGGGGCACAAGGGTTGCTCCAAGAGTCGCCTGCTTTTCTCGGGCTCTCCTCCATGCTGCAGAAGGAAAGATGATCAAGTTAAAACCTAATGAATTGTTATTCTTCAAACCAACACTGATTAGGCCACGTTAACTCATGAGGCACAAATGCTGCGCAGTACTAGGTAACTGCCTGTCTTCTTTTGTGTACATGCTTTCTACGTATGCTCTACAGACTTCTTTCTTCACATTCCCTCTTCTGTGATGCCAAACACACTGTACTCTCTCTCCCCTTCCAAAACTTCCTTGGGAAGTAAACGTTTAAAATGTTTAACAGGGAATCAGTATGAATCTAGATTCACTTGCAGATGGAGACTAATTTGAGTTTGGAAGAAGACTTCTCAGACTCTGCTGGACAAAAGGTCTTATCTCTGTTATACATCTGCATGGGACTTCTGAGGATGACATCCTGTTGCCATGCTGTGTGCTCTGGTGGCATAAATCTGCCCCTTGTACAAACAGGAAAACTGAGACAGAGTACAAGTGATGTTCCTGAGGTTGTACAAGTAGTCTCTAGAGGCACAGAGACTTTGTGAATCAAGAGTGACTATGGCAAAAACACTAGTCATGGATATCTCACTCTGCAGGCCTACATGGTGAAATTTGTTCCATCTTGCTTTAGCTAATTAAGAGTTTAAGCTAAATGTAAGGAAATACCCCAGAGTTATGCAAAATCATTATTGTATTTTAAGCACGTGAACTGATAAACTGAATTAACTTTTGACTGTAGACAAGCTTTACCTTCCTATTCTATCTGCTAGAACTTCAGAGATTTGAAAGGCTGGATGAAGGAGATTTGTGATAGATTTCCAGTCACGAAACTCTAATCCAGCTTCAGATGACCCTCAAATGCAGAAGTTGCACTCAGATACTTGCTTTGGGCCTGATTCAGTGAATGACATCCCTTGCCAAGACTTTCTTGACCAATATCTTAATGGCAGTAGCATTTCTTTCATCTCTGGTCTATCGCTTGGAAGATTAGCAGTCTCAATGAAATATTATTTTAACTGCATTTGAGTTTTGTGTAATATAGGTTAACAGGATTTCTATAAGCAGAACAATTGGAAATGTTACGCCTTGATAATATACCAATAACTGTTGATCATTGTCAAATGACCAAGCATAGGAACCAGCAAAGTTAGCTCACTTCAATCCATCCACAGTCTGTCCAAACAGGAACTGTGTGTTCTACTTGATTTGTTCAACTAGTAGTTGCTGAACACAGAAACTGAAATCTGAAAGTATGGTCCAGGTAGCCTAATACTAAGTACAAAAGCTATAGCTTTTAAGGCTAATGATGTGTTAAGTCCTGATATTTCTTACTGCACAGGGATGGGCAGCAGACATACTTGGGAAAGAAGCAGTTCTTGCCTTCTAGAGGAGCAGTGAGCATGTGGCAGATGCAAATCTGTGTGTAGCAGTGATATCTAATGCCTGGCAATGCAGCTGAATGGAAGCTGCTGCTGCTTGTGTTGTTGCTGTTAAAATGGGGTAGGTGAGAAAGATGACTGATGACTCACTAAAATGTGTTGTTCGTACAAGCTCCTGGCAGATTATATTTAGTATTTTCCCAGAAATTGGATGTTTTACTTGGGCATGGAAAATTGAGTGATGTATCTGGAAATGGAAAAATGGAGTCTGCACAGACATGGGAGAAACTGGCTACATTGCCAATTTTCAAACTTCTTTACCTATACAAGTGTGATGCCACTGGAGGTTTGCCTATCTCTCCCCCCTCCTGTAACTGAAGCATGAAACTGCTCATAGCACACACAAAAACTCACGTGCACAGAAGCACTGTTGAACTTGGAGAGGGAGAGCAAGGAAAGGAAGGAAGGAAAGGACACTGAGAGTTAGGTGGGAATAGCATGCGATTTGAGACCAGATGCAAACGCTGTCAGAATGAAGAGTTTGAGGAAAATAACATGTTTGAGGGAGATGTTTTTTTGAAATTTTTCCTTTGTTAGCTGAGTGAATTGCAAAGCAGAGGAAGCCTTGCATGGCTTAAAAACTGGAAGGAGAAATATGGATCAGTGTGGTGGTTACTCTGGAGTGGCATCTGCTGTAACAGCAAGGATCAGCATCTGCATGTGATGTTAGGTGCTCACAGCTGTGGCAGCTGCTCAGGGCTCAGCGAGGAGATGGGCAGCAGTGATGTGAGGGGCTCTCAGAGCTTCTGCTACGTGCTGCTTCCTAAAATAGCCCTTCTCTGCCCATCAGCACATTTGCTGTGATATCTGTATTACGCCAAAGCAAGGTCTGTAAAAGTCAATTCTAGGCAGCTTATTTTAACTGTAAGAAACCAAACAACAGCATATTGAATCTTGAGTCAGTGCACATGGTAATGAATGGGCTCAGTTTCCCTTTTGTTTACAGTGATATAAATTTGAGCTAACTCAATAGGACAACGTTTGATCTCTGTTTATATAAGTGATAAGCTGAATTTGGCTCAGGACATATTTCTTCTAAAATGACTAGAAATGGTGTCTATCATAACACTAGACACCGTATTTTTCATGACGGGGGGATGATTTTATTTTCAGTGGTTTTTCTTTATATTACTGTCTGTGCTGTGACAGACTACAATAGAGAGATAACACACACCACTGAGGCATAAATTAGTTAACAATTTATAGTAGACTGTTTTTAAAATTGAGCCATAAAACTCCCAGGGCTTTTGTCTTAAAATATTTGATACAAAGCTGCCTTGGAAAAACATTAATTAATTCTAGTGGGCACTGGAGTAGACAAAGCTGGCTTCACAGCACACATAACAGCAGAAATCCCAACAGCAATGTAGACAACTTTCAGATGATCTTCAAATGTCAGAATATAACACAAAATTAGAATCCAGAATGCAAAACTGTTTCCTAGCAGCTTTCGCTCCTTTTGTTTAGCTAATTTCTCTGAGTGTGGTTCTTGTCCTGTCTTTGTGAAGAGAATGCCTGTACGCCTGATTTCAGTATAGTTAAGTGTCTCTGCACTCAGTGCAGGGTATGTTTGTGTGCATTCACAAGTGCAATTTTATTTCCTGTTGGGCTTGATCTTGCAAGCTCTACTCATGGGGACAATTTGTGTGATTTTAGCTCTTCTGCAGCAAGAGGAAAAATACTCCTCATATAAGGAAAACCTGCCTGGGAAGGGTCTTAATCCTCTTGTGTAGCTTAAAGCTTAATGGACTAAAACATCCTAAGATCCTGAGAAACTAGAATAACAAACTGTACCTCCAGACAGCTACCCTGATCTTTAACTATTCCCAAATACTCATGTGCGTTTTATAGCTTTTTTTGCTTTTTTTTTTTTAAATGATAGAGAAAATTTTAAAGTCAAGCCCAGGTATTTCAAAAATGTCCACCAGTGGTTGCAAACATGGAATTTCTTGTATCTAATGCTTTCATGACAGTGAATCCCTGACAGCCATGGGAGGTTTCTCCACTTTGAAAACTGAATTTGATCTTTGGAACCACCAGACTTGGCATTAGTGCCTCGATCTGAAAGCCTACACAACAAGCTCTGAGTTTCAGCTATAATTATAATCATACAGATGTTTACATCTGCACATTATTCTTGCCACTTGATTTGAAATATTTTAACATAGATTTCTGTTAAGCAGTTTACTGGCTTAGAAGTTGATGCTAGTTAAGACACCCCAGCCTATTTTCTATAATGAACAGTTATTTAAAGATGTTTATCACCTGAGGGCTATTCCATAACTTTTAAGAATTGAATGTGGATGTTCTTAGTCCCCAAACAAATAAGGGAAATTCAATACCGTGAAATCAACACTGAACTTTCCCTGGTTGCAGTGTAAGGCTTAAGCAAGCTGTGCAAGGTTAGCTGTTCTCTTTACTCTGACAGGTGTCTATAGAAATCTGGGGCAAGATGATGTTATCTTTCCCCAGCCATCTGTCACATATAGGAACAGAGTACTTTTCTGGGGAATCTTAAAGACTATAAATTCCCATCAGGAGTTTATACAGCCAACACAATACAATATTTCTGCTTTCCTGATGTAAAGTAGAAAGATTCTTACCTTGCTTGGTTAAGAGCGGGTTCACTGGCAGCTGATACAGGAGCTGGAAGGAAGAACCTGACCCCTGGACGACGGTCGGAGAAACTTCTCCTCACAAATGGCTGAGGATTGGCAGCACTCAGGGACAGCTTTCTGGTTCGAGCTCCCAGCTGCTGGAAAACCAAGCTGTTTTTTTGGGAAGTTTTTGAAGCTTCAGGCTGACCCGTGACCTCCTCTGAGGTTTTGCTGGGTGCTGGTGGAGGTCTTGCTTCAAATAAGGACGAGGTGGCTGGGCAAAATATTGAATGTATGTTGCTGCCCTTTTTGGAGGGGGAAGGCTGGGGCTCATCCCCAGCATCCAGACCTGCTCTTGATCCTCTGTAGGAGCGAGATGGGGACGTTGGTGGGGATGGGGTGATGGGAAATGGAGCAGGGCCTGTGTCACGGCGGTATGCTGGGGAGCCTGGTGGCCGGTGTGGGCTTGATGAGCCCTGTTTATGCTCTGCAGGAGGGCTGAGCAGCTTGCGCTGGGTCGGTGGAGAGGGCAGCTTCTTCTGTGAGGGAGGGCTGGGTGCTCTGGGGCTGGTAGGGGGGCTGGGTTTCCTCTGCATGGTGGGTGAGCTGGGCTGGGGGTTGCTAAAAGCTTGCAGAGAGTGCCTGTGATGCGCTGGAGGGCTGAAAAGCCGTTTCTCAGTTGGCGGAGAAGAAGGAGGGGTTCTTGCTGGGGACACCCTCCTAGAGAACGCTGAGGCTTTTTCATTTCTCCTGAGAGAGTCAGGAGAGCTGTGCTTCTGGTATGACACTGAAGTTGTGGGTGAACTGGCCTCCATGCCCTCTGAGCTGTTGCTGTGTGGTTTTGAAACCCCGCTGGGATTTTGAAGAGGAATAATTTTATGCGTTTGCTTGTACAAATCTGCAGCCTCTTTTCTCTGGGTTGCTAATATCTCTTCCTGACTAGGGATGTGCACATTGGTAGGGTTCAACTCCAGAGAATATATCTGCAGTTTATCATCCCTTGGTTCACTGTTCCTTAGAACTTTGTTAGCAGCCACGCTGGGGCCATTGATATTTTTGCTTGGCAATAAGTCAATGGACTGAAGAGAGGCCCTCATTTTTGGGGAGACTTGTGTTCTCTTACTAGCTTGAAATTCTGTTTTGGAAGGCTTTTTGGCATCTTCTGATGAGCTTCCTTCTATTCTTGCAGTTTCTTCCATCTCAGAGGAGTCAAAAGTACTGTCCATTAGCATTTCAGGGGGTGGTGGTGGCAAGTTCTCAATATCTTCATCTGTCTCTTCCTTTGTGTCCTTGCTTAATTCTGCAGCTGGTATAGGAGGAAAGGCATTTCGAAAGTCAGAACAAACTCCACTGTTGTTTGAAAGGTTTGTGCCTTCTACTGGTGAAATGCGATGCTTAACATTTAAAGGCGCTAGGCCTCTCTGAAAGGGAACAGTGGGTGGGATGACTGGAAGTCCAAATTTTCTGACACATTTTACTGGTCCTAAAGATCTTAAAGGTGCGGCTTTTCCAAGCTCATCAGTGGGACTGAATGTTTCAATGAGCTTTTTGACAGACTGGCGGGGGGCACAACTGCTGCCACTGAGCATTTGAGTTCCAGAAGACTTGTTTTCTTCATTCCCTGATGATGTCTCCTGGGTGGGCACAGTAGCTTTCAAAGTCTTCTTGTCTCTTTTTTCATCCAGCTGATGGGCAGGATTTTGATCAACTATGTATGAAGGGACTTTATCCTGGTTAGGTAGGATGCTGAAATTTTTTGAGAGGCATGCCTTCAGTTTGCTAGAAGACCTAGAAGTAACTTGCTCATCCTGCAAGTAACGTGTTGTTCTCAGTTTCCTAGGCTCTTTGTTGTTATCTGTCTCCTTCTTTCCATAAAACATTTCTAGCCTTTTGCTGAGCTCCTTTTGAGTTCTCTGAAGCTCTAGGAGGGTTGGGTCCTCTGCCTGGCTTCTGAGGGACTCCTCTGACCGGGATCGTCGTTGTTTACCAAAGGTTTTCTGTCTGCCTGTTGCTGTACTGGGCCTTGCTGTTAAGATGGCTGTTCCGCTCTCGTCCTCCATCCATTCTTTACGCCGAGACTTAGCTGGGACAAACTTGATTTTTTCACTGATAGCATCTTTCATCTTCAGAATCATTTCCTCTGCTTCTGCATTTTCTGTCCTTTTGATAGACTGCCTTTGTGTGTTACCAGTGACAGCAGGCGAAGACTGGGGTCTCTTTGGCAGGGCATCCTTCCCCATTTCTGATAAACTTGTGTTGTCATCATCCTCCCCCAGGGTGCTCCCTTCATCATCGTCATCTGAAGGAAAATCTATTGATCCACCAACTTGGAAATGTTCATGTTCTTGAGTAGAGTCAGACTGGAAGGAGTTACAGGAGTGGCTTTTACTCAGGCTTGCATATTGTGCCACAGTGGAAATACCTTCCGGTATTCCTCCTTGACAAGTAGTTCCTTCTCTACTCTGTACAGATGAATGAAGCACATCTTTAAAATGCATTTCAAGTGTGTAGTTATGAGATGTGGCGGTGCCTGGTGGCCTTGTCCCATTGTGGATATGCTCCATTGTTCTGCTGTGCTTTTGGGACAGAACGCCATGTGCAGAGGGATCAAAGCTTGCTTGTGCTCCAAGCTGGCTGAAAGGACTGAAGTCTTTGAGGGATTCGTTGTCCACACCAATGCCACTGTCCTCAGAACAGAGAGTCCTGTCATCGCCATGGAACTGAGGGTTCCCCATGGTTGAGGCTTCAAGCAGCCTTACTGTCTGAAGCAGGCGCTCATCAAACATTTGCTTTGCTTTCAGTTTTCCTTCCAAGTTGCTTGCAGCGGTCTGTAGGTAGTTGCATGTCTCCTGCAGGGCATCAGAGGTGAGAGAGGCTAGCGTTCCATTCAGTAACTGCATTTTATTGATTGTGTATTGCAGTAGTTGTTGCAGAAGATCAGGGTGCTCCTTCAAATCACCTTTTTCTGATGGCCATGCCAGATTCCCCCCCACGTTTTTGAGAAGATTTTCCCCATCATTAGCAATTTCTTCCAAGAGCTGGTTGATTTCATCAAAGCGAAGCACAAGGAAGCTTACCATCTGTTGTAGGAAGAGCTGAGTTTGGGCAGCCTGATCAGCCATATGAAGTATTGCTTCATACTTGGAGAGATTGGGATTTAAGTAAGCGTATGCACTCTGATGAGCCTTAACAAGCAGTTCTGGGAAATCCACCTTTTTCTCTGTCTCACATGGGGACAAAATGGACTTTTCTTTAGTTTTGCTAAGTCGACCTTGCTTTGCTGACTTCTGATTCTTTGGCTTCTTCCCTTTCTTTAGGATTTGCTTTGCGTTGCTTTCATTCTTATTATCCAAAATGAACACTGATGCTTCTGATTCACAGGAGCTTTGCTTTCTGATCTGTATAGTCTCAGTGATGTGTTTTTGAGATTCAATCAGTTTAGATATAACTTCAGCCTCTGTGGCTGTCCTCTCAATTACTTTGTCTTCTCTGGAAATGGGGATGTTTGGATGAGAGTTGAAAGAAAACTGCAAATGATCACTCTTATCCAGCTCAGATGTTTTCTCCTTGGTTTCTATCAGGCAGTCATTCCTCTGGACCCCGTATTGGTGAAGTTCATCAATACTGTAGCAAGATGAACCTTTAACTAGCAGTGGGATTCCTTTATCTGTTGGATCAATACGCAAAACACCTTTGGGCTTATTCAAAGCCTTAAGGCCACTTCTTGCAAGAGTATTAACAATCTCACTGTGAGATGGTGTGCAGCCCATCTTTTCTTCGTCTTTGGCTGTATTTTTGATTTAAAATCTAGATAATTATAGAAAATACAACAAAGAATCAAACTCACTGTCTCATCCCGAACAGTAGACTGGCCCTTTTCTCACAAGTTTTCCATCGCAGTGTTAGTTTTGTTGACAGTTCTTGATGTAGTTTGCCTTGAAATCTCATATGCTCACCGTCCAGGATCTGGTCTTGCAGTCCAGGATCTGGTCTTGCAGTTGTGCGTTGTCCCACTGTATGTTTCCACGCAGGTTTTCTTCTTTGATTCAAAAAAAAAAAAAAAAAAAGTGTGTGAAAGCTCTGCTGGATTTAGAGCTAATGGATTAAGAGGACTTGCGTGCCTCACTTCTGTCTTGACAGATGTCCACTACAAGTAAGACTTTAAGCTCATTAGGGTAAGCAGGCACCAACCAGTCAGCATCCATGTTGTATTTATAAAGGCAGATTTTTTTTTTCTGCACTATATTGGGTGGCAAGAGGACTTGGTACCTGTCCCAGCTTCTTTTCCTTGTTGCAAAACTGTAATGCATAATTGAATGTAGTGATCCAAAAGAAGAAACTGTATTTTGAAATCTTTTTGAAGGGAAACTACTAGAACGTGTGCACAAATGCCATTAGATACTGCTTAACCAAGAAAAAGATGACCTTGATGGAGTATATAGCAGCTGGAGAATACAAGGAGAATCAAATGGGTTAGAGGTACTTGTTATGCTTCTGCCTCAAGGGGCTTCAATATTCTTCAGTATTTTAATTTTGGAAAAAAAAAAAAAAAGACAAATCTCAGGCAGAACTATCAATTTCAGTCTTTCAAATGTATGGGTTAGGACCACAAAAAAAAAAAAAATCACACACTTTTCCATAAGATAATAGATCTCTAAAACTAAACAAACAAACAAAAAAACAAACAAAAAAACCCACAAGTTTTTCTTCCTTTGAGTTTCTTGGGATAAAATGCTTATGTGTTCTTTACAGGCACACACACACACAAAAAAAGTGACTTGCTTGCTTTCACTTCTTCCTCATCTGCCAGAGACTGCTTCTTTTAATGAATTAACTTCAAGAGCTAAAACTCTAAGGAAAAAAAAAAGTAAATAAAATAAAAAATTAAAAATATAGACCCATTTCTAAAAACAAGAAGTTATTCAAACCACTTAAAAAGCCAAAACAGGATTGTTCCTTTTGTTAGTTTGGCTATCACTTGCTGCATCTTTTTCTTGGAAAAACAACCTCCAGAATAACCTAACTCTGAAAAAGAAGAAAGCAGAAAGTGGAATACTTTGATGAAGCAGAAGAGATCTCGCCTGGTGCACTGTGCCCAAATGAAGAGTACTCAGTAGAGGACCTGCTGGAGCACATCCAGAGGAGGGCCATGAAAGTGATCCAAGGGATGGAAAACCTCCCCTCCAAGGTTAGGCTGAGACAGCTGGGGCTGTGCAGCCTGGAGAAGGGAAAGCTCCAGGGAGACCTGAGAGCAGCCTTTCAGTATCAAAAGTGGGGCTAGAAGAAAGAAGGGGACGGGCTCTTTAGCAGAAGTGTTGTGGCAGGACAAGTGGAAATGATTTCAAACTAAAAGAGGGGAGGATTTAGACTGGATATAAAGATGAATATTTTTACTTTAAGGGTGGTGAGGCACTGGCACAGGTTGCCCAGAGAGGTGGTGGATGCCCTGTGCTTGGAGACGCCCAGTATCAGGCTGGACAGGGCTCTGAGCATCCTGATCTAACTGTAGGTGTCTCTATTCATGTAGGGGGAGTTATACCAGATGACTTATAAAGAACCTTTCCAACTCAAACCATTCTATGATTCTATATTGTCCAAGTATTTACTTACAAAGAGTAGTACATGGGTAAGGATGATAATAGCACTGACTTCCTGTTTCCATCTTCAATATTCACGTTTGATGGATTTATCTTTTAATTTCAAAGAGTAGCTTTTCTACCAAAGTTATCAATTTCTCAGCGTCAGAAAAGATTGCAGACAAGAGCGGCTAAACCTATCTCTGGGGAGAAGCCTTCTGCTTCTCTCTAGCAATTTCTGCGTGGTTGCAGGTAACTCGTCTGCTTCCCCAAAATGTTTCCATACTGCCAAGCCTCTAAAACATTTTCAGACTTGAATGAGCTGCTTACATGACTCATTCCTTGGTGCTGTTGCAGATTGTTCTCCTGGAAAATAATTACTTTCTGTAGCCTCTTTATTCACATTTCTTCTGTTCAACAGGAGCAGCAAACTTAACTTGTTTTGCAAGGGAGAAGTAATGCCAGTGACTCCTAAGAAAATGTTTGAAACTATTCCTTTCTGTCAGGTAATTTTTCTGGGATTTATTAGTTGCAATTAATGTATGTGATGGCACAGCCATCTTCCTCAGTGCTTTTCTGGAAAACATCAGGTAATTATTTCTTGGCTCTGCTTCTTCCAAGTCATGTAGCTGACTCTCCAGATGATTCTGCATTCCACCACCATGTGGCTTACCCACAGTGGCTGATTTATGGTGGTTATGTATTTATTACTCTACAATTAATATGAACTAATATTAACTTATGCCATTTAATTTATTTATTTTCAAATAGAGATTCTGAGTCATAGAAAACATGTTTGAACAAGGCACGTGTATTGTCCTAACTCTGTTGCTTGCATGTCTATGTAGTATAACTACTTTAATGTTCTGTCAAACTCATTAGCTTCTGTGAGAGAGAAGAAATTTTATGCCTGTTTCCCACCACTTATGAAACTGCATTTGTCATTGATACTCTTGTTACTAAGTAAATATATATTGTGTTGAAAGTCTGAGGTATTTAAAGCAAAAACAAAAAGCTTTGCCACATGGAAAACACAGAAGAAAATGCTTTGCCTTATGGCAGTTTAACAAAAGAGGTGGCAAGTGAAAACGGTGGTAGAAGGGAATACTGATGAGGAGAGTGACAAGCAAGTATTTTTGACAGTAAAGTAATGAGATGAATTTGTCATCTGTTGTTTATGAGTGCTATATATTGATGTAACTCCTGGTAGAGTTACTACAGTAATACTTTGGCTTACAGTGCTACAATTTACAGAACAAAAGGGAAACAGTTGGTCTGAGTCTATGTTGTTACCTGTGAACTTGCTGACTTGAGCCATTTTACAAGTGCCCCATGTGAACACAGGACTATGTTTGAGGAACAGAGCCTAGGAGAGAAGCATGTTAAGATCATTAAGGATTAACAGACTTTCCCTTGAATGTTGGATTTAGTTTAAAATGCCTTTTCTCCTTTCATACCCTTTCTTCCTCCTGTTAAAATTGGCAATATTTTCACTGCTGCTTGGTTGCATGGCACTCTTACAGGGAAGAACTTAAATATTCTTACATCCTGCCAGAAATAGCTGGTGCAGTAGATAATAAAAACCACACTAGCCTGCAAATGGGCCAAGAAGCACTGTAAATGCCCTACGAAAGGCAAGAACGAGGCCTGAGTCTGGATGGAGATGTATGGTACTCAGCCTTCAGAGATGTTGTCCATGTAGTAGCTGTGGGATTGATTTCAAGGTGGGATGATGGGAGTATCTGTTGATGGAAACTGAAATTTCAGTATGAAACAAATAATGTAGCCTAAAAATTATGGAAGCAAGAAAAAAGGATAATAGAGGACTGCTACTGAAAGGCTGCAGGATTTAAAAGAGGAATGTGCATAAAAGCTCCTTTCAGGTCTTAAAAGGTGAAGGTTTGCATTCATGAATGACTTCTGAGAAAAATTTTTGTTCACTGAGAGATTATGGAGGGCTTCAGTGATAATAACAATTTCAAAGAGTGGTGGTGGTGTTGTTTTCAATACCAGCAAATTGAATATAACCAGAGAGCTGTTCAAACTGTTGGTCTAGATATCACTAAACAAATAGGAAATTCAGAAGTAGTAGTAGAAAATTAGAGACACTTCTGTGGTTCAGCCTCTACAGGGGCTGCTAACTGCTCAGATGCCCCACGGGAATAAAGCAAAATCATATGGGACCTAACACTGCTCAAAGTCAGCAGTGATTTTGTAAGATACGTTTACAAAAGCTCACTGCTTTTGAAAGGAGTATTCTGGTCACTTGATCATCATTACTCATTGCTACGAATCCCCCAGTATTTAAAAGACAGCTGTCTGGCAGATGTTCACTGCTGTTTTCAATGGTTAAGACAGTGCCAGAATGTAAAAGTTAGAACTAAGAATTGTGGGAAACAGAATAATGTTTCAAATACAGATTTCCAGAATTATGCAAATTTACATAATTAAAGGGAGACAGGCCTAGCCTCAGCAGTAGCTTCATCAGTTCTTGCAAGTAGATGCAGGTTTGTGGTTATGGAGCAACGTCATGGAAAGCAAGTTTCTATCAGGTGACAGAATTTAACAGGCAGGCAGCTGGTTCTGTTACTTCTGCTGGGAGGTGGCTGTGTTGTTTTGGAAATGGATTTAGAGGTTAGGTCCAGGTGATCTGCATTCCTGAAAAAATAATCCAGGCCACTGTAGAAAACAGTGGAGCTGTTAAGCTTTGTGCCTCTGCACAGAAGGTTTCCTTATCTAAAGCATCTCAGGAGTTCTCTGAACATCAAGATAAGCACTCCTATTGGCTTCCTCCTGTAGGGTGCCTCAAAGCATGAGCCACTTGTATACACAGCTTTCCTGTTAGGCACCTAACTGAGGGCAGCTCTGGAGCATTCAGTGTCTTACAAACGTGCTTGCTGCTGCACTATTCTCACTATTATTCTGATCTTTGCTCCAGAGTAGCTCTGCTGGAAGCTGAAGTCTACCAAAGCTATTTAAATGACCTTTTTCCTCTGATATGAACATTTGAGAAGATGAAGGAAGTGGTTAGTAATGCCCTATTTCTGCTCAAGATGAGAAATAAAAGCAAAATAGTACTTTACATTAAAAAAAAAAAAAAAAAAAAAAAAGTTGCTCATGAGCTTTTATTCTTCCACATCTTCCTGTGGAAGATGTGGTGAGAGGGGCTGTAGTTCATTATTAGACACATTACAGTTCTCAAGCTGCTCAGCAACTATACTGCCCATGGCATCACAGAATGAGTCAGACAGGATAGGCTGGACAGAATTCTATTTAGACTCATATCCTGATATTGTAAAAAGATTTTGTATAAAGGCATAGAAGTAGGCTTTATTTTTAATTTCCACTGTGGGGTTGGTAAGTGGAACTCAGGATGTGCAGACATTTTGTCAAGCACAAGGGGTGATCTCCCTTGTGGCTGCAGCCACAAGGACATAAGACATAAGGATTTATTCCAGGTTAAAATGGTTGGGTTTTACCTTCACTGCTACAACCAGAAGGTTCTGATGAACCTGGGATGCTTGGCTAGGTGCTGCCTGCTTTCACTTTCTAACAGAGAAGTTTTCATACCCAATTTTATCCTCATATTCAGTGTTCACTTTCATACACCGTTCTCTACAGTGTATGGCAGACAGCAACCATAATTGTCCATCCCACTTTTCATTTTGCTGCATTAAAGAAGCCATGCTCTTGTGAGCCCCTAAAATAGACTGTTCTTTTCCTTGCCTGTGCTAGGAAATCATCTGTGAACATGTGAGATGAGCTCCATCTTTGAGGGAAGGGCAGTCAGAACTGCATAGGATTTCCTGTAGGAGATGGCAGAACTTTGCTAACATGAACACAACTGGAAGTTATGCATCCTAAGGTAGCCATTTACTTTTTATGTGATTCCATTGTTATTGGTATCAATGTTTCTTGAGTAACTGTTGACTATAGTCACACCTGTCTCTTAGTTGCTTTCATATGATGAGATAATC